ACTTAAAAACCAGTCGAAATGTAAAAATATTGATACTTGATATTGTGACTTCTACAGGTTTGTTTTGTCTGACCAACTGGGAATAAGGAATCAACAACATTGTTTCAGCTCTACAGCGCTTTATTTGGAAATAGGCGAAATTACATTAAAGCCCTTGGCAAATTAAGACAGGCTTTGGAATTTGCAGATACAGCTATATGTTAATGTGAGAAAAAGGAAATAATCCCCTGAAATATGACAAAAACCAAGTGAAATCCTTGTTCGGACAGAGAAAGACTTGTCATAAGTGCTCTAACTTTCACTGTGGAAATGGCGGGAAACATTAGTGCACTGAAGTCTGTTGTGAGTAGACAATGGCAGCAGAGGGATTTGCCTCCTGCCAGAGAGTGTGTGTGTATTTTTATAAAAACTCTGATACGACAGTATGAAAAGTCCAACGTGAGATGACAAGCTGATTGCAAATGTGTCAGATTTTAGGAAGACAGCACATAATGAACTTGATGAACAAAGGACTAATTTGAGAGTGACGTTAGTACATGATGAAACAAGCACAGTCCAAATAAAGGTCAGCTTCAAACATGATCAGTCATGTAATTCTTCAGCTGGGGCTGACATGACCATTGTCAGTCATCACCCATAATAGTGAAAAAAGGAAGAACTTGTCTGTGTACTGAAATCTGTCCCTCTGTGGTTGAACAGAGCAGTGCTGTCTAGAAACAGAGTCCCTGAGATTTTCTGAGTTAAATATATAAAAGTAATACAGTCATAAAAGGAAAAGTAGATCAGTAGTAATCAGCAGTGTACAGATAAATATTACGATTTAAAGCATCTACTTCAGCAACAGAGTGTAAATTTGTCTTCTAAAGATGTTAAGAAGCACTACAAGTGTAAAATTGTAAAAAAAAAAAAAAACTGAAATAAGGTTGTAAAGGGCAAGAATCTGTTAAAATTAAACCTGCTTACAACAAAAAAAGAGGAAAACAACAAATACAAAACTAGCAAACATGTACTGAGGGGTTAAAGTGAAACATAAAGCACATTGGAGCACATAAAGAAATTATACTGAAATGCTTCCGTCAACCCGAAGTAAAGACATCAAGCAGTGGCCGAGCGCAGATCTCATCTGTCTTCTATATCTTCAGAGTTAAAATTATGATGTGTTCTGTCAGGTTACAGTGTTGGCTGAAACAACCTTCTTGCGTCATTACTGTACGCAACTCTATACTAAAAGTGACTACAAGACGTGGATATTCACCAGGCAGGGAGGGTGTATTGATAAACATTATTTAATTGCATTATGGGAATTGTGGGTCTCAGTGTTTTTGGAGCCTAACCCGTACCAGGAAGTAAAATTTAGGATATCTCGACCACTGCCAATTCAATTTTTTTGTTTTTATCCGTCTCTCATTACATACCAAAACATAAAACTGTTAACTGAAAATCTGAGCGAAAACATTGGTCTTCTCAGATCTTTACCACTAGTTGGGCAAAAATATGTATCATGTATATATATGGTGTCAGAGGAATAGTATGCTGTAATCAAGTCAAACGGCATTAGCACGTCTCAAACTTATAAGTTCATCAGGCTCAGCTCTTGCAGTCAGTCTAGGTTTTGTCAGCCTCAGGTGTGCAAAATAAATTTGCCATTTCAGGCCAGAATAAAGTACTTAGTCCTTGTCAAGCTGAAATGTGTGAAATTATGTATTTATGTGTGAAATGATGTAGTTGTTGCTGTTGCTTGAAACTTACTTTAAGCCTCGTGTGACCAAATTGTATGCTGAGGTGGTGGTAAAGCATCTAGGTGAAGGTAGCTCTGATAGTGTTGAAAGTACCCAAAAAATTCTGTAAAACTCACTGCTGCTCCACATTGTTATTTATACCTGTTTTATTCTCTACATTCACAATTACACTTGTCGACACTCGTTTCTCCTTATTTGAAGGCTCTATTCGCCACACCAGATGTTAGAATGCAGGTTATCATGTGTAGAATTTAATGAGAAGAATAGAGACTTCCAGCAAGATACAGAGAGAGAAGTGTCATGGTACATTAAATTCAAGTGTGTCATGCTACATATGACAAATTCACAGCTGAAACTGGTAGTTTGTTTGTTTGTGGAGGTGAGGAGTGAGAGGGAAAATACCCACTTGTCTTCCCACTAAATCCGGGAGTCTCACTGCAGCTGTTGACCAATACAATCACAGCTGAAGGACTTCCCCCCTGATGCTGTTATAATTCTAATAAAACTAAATGAGTAGTGGTTGATGGGAAGGCTGAAAATGAAAGTGAAACTAAAAGCCATCTTAACTACAGTATTGGTAGCTCATAAACAACAATTTGAGGCTGTTTACATCATACAAGTTATACCATTGGCAAAATAAGGACTAAAATAGAGTTACTGTCAGATGGGTTCAGTTAAAAAGAAAACAAGAGGGAAAGTTAAGATTTTGCTAAAAGTTTGGCACATAGTTGTTATTGTGGATCCAGAGGGAAGTTTTAGGTTCTGTTTCAACTGCCTGCCATGATACAGACATGCACTGAAAGAAATCTGATATGATTTTATCCCCAAATCTGAATCTGTGGAGCTGAGTCCGTGGCTGACTGCACCATAAAATGGCGTGTACAGGCCTGAGCTGGTATAAAATATAAATGTGATTCAGTAAGATGGTTCATCACAAACATATCTAAGCGCATGGTGACAGCACTTCTTCAACACACAAGTGTATATGCGATCTCTCACCACACTACGGTTTCCGCTCGTATCTCGCAGTGCAAGTCTGAACTCTCCGGCCCGGCTCGGGTCCATGCTGAGTTGTAGGCGCAGAGTCTCGCTGCCTGCTCCGGGGAGGCACAGGGGCCGGATCCCGGAATGGCACACCGACACCCGGACTGACATCAAAACAGTACTGCAGCAAGCCGTCGGCGCAGGGCCGCCGCATGCAGCCTGCTGGGACGAGGCAGGGACCGGGGCTGGAGGAGCCCAGCCACCCGAGCTGAGTGCCATGTCGCGAACACCAGAGGCGGGGTGAGGGTGTCTTAAGCCCCGCGGCGGGTGTTACTGCTGCCCGCTGCCTCTGTGTGGTTTATAAGGTCCACCGGTATCTGAAGGGAACGCGTTTCGTCACGGGCAGGCTGTGGTTTTCTCCTCTCCTCGCAAATTCTTCCATATCTACCCGACCCGAGCACGGAGCGAAAGAAAAACAAAACAGGAAGTGCAGGAGTACGTCTCTTGTTTTTGTCCGTAGAGAAACGTGGCTGTGAAACATTCGACCTATCTCAAATGCCATACTGACTGAATAGCACTGCATTCACAAAAAAAAAATCGTAATTATGTTGTAGTGTGTAATTTAGAAATGAATTACCATTAATTAATCCTAATTATGAGAACATAGGAGATGAGGACATAAACATTAACAGACAATAAAACAGCACGAAAGAAATCAGAGAGCAGTAAAAGAAATAAATCAAACAAATACATTTTGCAGATATAGGGCAAACAACATCAAAGTGATACTTAATAAGAAATACATTTATCAGAAAACAGCTAAATAATGCATTCACAGACAGATTACACAGGATTCCATGAGTTGAGAAATGTGGTGGGTTTTTAACAGCCTCACCAGACTTTAACTGAGTTTTTTTTCTTTCTAATCATTTAACATTTAAGTGACATTGCACAGCGATGTACACCATTTTGCTGTAGGCTATATTGTAAAATACAGTACATCCTAACTGAGTAACTGGGTGCCAGTGTCAGGAGTTAACAATGAGAGTGATGTGGGTGGTTTGTTGTGTGCCAGTGGAAAACTTGGCAGGAGAACTTTCTATGAGTGGTAATTGATTTATAGACTTTTTTTGAAGACCTGAGAGCAATGCACTGTGTGCGGAAATTTTATGTTGTCCACCTAATGAATGACTAACTCAGGGTAAAAGGTCAGTGTGATGCCCTAGGTCACTGTGAGCCAGCTACTGCACCAAATCTTATTAGCTTTGAGATACTGAGGCGGCTCCTCCAGACGAAGCTGTGCTTTCGGCTGATACTGCTGGTGCCAGGGCAGTCCTTGGATGGGCAGTAACAAGTGGCTGAGTGTTCTGAGAATCAGCACTCCTACATATAGTCATGTTTCCTTGTTTATGGTTAATGAACCAATAGTGTAGTAACACATCCCTCTCCAACCCCTTCTCTCGTCTTATGGGGTTATTTGACCAGTTATGGAGTGCAAGCTTTCTATAGTATTCTTTCTAAATGTATAAAACCTATCCCCAGAGGTTCCTGCTTCAGAATTGAGGTGACATCATGCACAGAAGCCCGATGATAAGAATTTTCCCTAACACACTGCAGTTGTTGAACCTGCTTGTAAATGAAACTTCTCTGTCAGGTCAGGCCTTTTGTTTATCTCATGCATGCAATCTGGTTTTATCTCATTCAATAATAACACCCACACTTCTTGCCTGTGGTGCACTGCATTGTGATATTGTGGAATAAGTACAGACAGTTGTGATAATCATCACCGGTTTAATGTCGCCAATTGCCTCTACTTTTGTAACTTTGTAGCCTTGAAACACAAATAAGATTTTCTTTATTTAGATTTTTGTCCCTTATGTGTTCTGAATATCTTTATCTTTTTAAATGGATTTATATATTGAGTATAAGCTCCAGATCAAACTCAATAGCTGACTTATTCAAATCTCTGTCAGGATTTCCATAATTGTAATATATACTACAGACTGATACACTAGTGGTTATAGTTTTTAGAGAGAAGATCTTTGCAATTTCAGCAGGGTGTCATGTTCAGTCATGACTAAAAGTTAATATCTGATAAAACTGTAAAGGTGTTTCAGAATTGGGTGAAGGAATAAAGTAAAATGACACACTGCCAACAGCAGATCGTCCCTAAACTGCATTGTCTGTTAATAAGGCACATATTACCACGTTTTTCCTATGTATATCTGTAACTAGATGTCCTCATGCATATAATTGAACTTGGAGCAAGTTGACCTGCAAGGTCTTGTCTGATAGAGGTTAGAGACAAATTGTGGAGATGTCTGTTCTGCAGGAGATCAGTTCAAATGTGAGGAACATGAAGCAGTTAGAGTATGCAATCCTGGCCAGACGAGTAAACCAGATCAAGGAGGGGCTCAAGCAGGTAAAGAAAAAAAGGTTTTGACATCAATCTACAATATATGGATGCTTGAGTCAATTTTCCAACTTGTGTTGTGATTTCTTGAACCTCTGCTTTGAATTCACCTGTCAATAGGGAGTGAGAAAGCCCTACAAAGAAATTATAGATGTCTCCTGGGGTGACCCACACAGGGCAGGCGTGAAACCTCTGTCATTTGTCCGACAGGTAATCTTTGACCTCCAAAGACTGCATGTTTTCTTTGTTTGTTTTTTTTGTCAGACTTACAAAAACTGTATGTGCAAACTCCTGCATTTTCTTCTGAACTAAAATCTCCATCTTTCTTCAATGTGTGTCTACATATTTTGCAGGTTGTTACAGCATGTATTTACCCTCAGCTTATCAACAGCAACAAACTGCCTGCGGACGTCAGACAGAGAGCTCAGAGGCTGCTGGGGGAATGTGCTGGAGGGAGTGTAGGTAAGGGCCTGTGTATGTGATACTACAATGATGTGGTTTGAAGGATCAACCTGCTCTACAGTTCCATCTCAGTTTTTTTTTTGTTTTGTTTATCAGTCTGTGTTTTGTGATTGTTCATCAGAATCTGTTATTTCTTCAGGTTCCTCTACAGCTACAGCGGGTATACCAGAACTAGTCCACAGAGTCTCTGACTTCATAATGAGACGAGATGGTGGGGCTCCGTCTCACCCTGAAAACATATACATGAGCTCAGGCGCACAGTGGGCGCTAACGGTAACAGTCTCTATCCAGCCTCTTCCTCCTGTAAATGACTGTCATCTTCAAATTAACCCAGTCTTTTCCCGTGCTCACTAGAACATCCTCAACGTGCTGGTGAACAGAGAGGCTTCAACCAGAACAGGTGTTTTAACTCCAGGGCCATGCTACAGCATTACCAATTTGTCCATAATGGAACTGGGAGCGGTCATCGTTCCCTACTACCTGAATGAGGAGCAGGGCTGGGAGCTGCAGGTAGAGGAGCTACATCGAGCGCTGGAATCTGCAAAGGGAGTCTGTAACCCTGTTGCTCTGTATGTCATCAACCCTGGAAATCCATCAGGTAGTAAAAAAAAAAAAGAAAAAAAGACTGGAGATCATCTATTATATTTTTGTATCAAAGAATGTACAGTATATCACACGGTTGTTTTCGTGCTATGTCGACGACAGGTCATGTTCAAAGCAGAAAATCGATGCAAGAGGTGATCCGGTTTGTTTCTGAGAAGAGGCTCTTCCTTCTGGCTGATGAGGTGGCTGTCTTAAAGCAGTATTATCGCTCCATTTGTGCACATAAACGCACACATGTACAGTAAGTTAACACGTGTCCCTCTCCACAGGTTTATCAGGACTGCGTCTACGGGGAAAAGAGTGAGTTTGTCTCCTACAAGAGGGCTCTGATGGAGATGGGGCCTCCTCTTTCAGACACAGTGGAGCTGGCGTCCTTCCACTCAGCGTCCAAGGGCTTAATGGGAGAGTAAGTTCTCAGTTCCGATGAGCGTCTGGAGTTTGTCAGCTACTTTGTGATAGGTGATCTTCACAAAAGATAAGACAAAAGTTCATTCTTGACGCTGGACACCAGCAGCTGACGAGACAACCTATGAGGGTGACAGGACGATGGAGAAGATAAAAAAAGCCAAACATTTAGTAAACAGTTCAAAACGCACTATAATGAAGTTGTATGCAGCCAAGGGCATTTTAAGAGTTTATTAACCACACTTCTGGGTGCCCACAGGGCGAGTTATAGTTCTTGACAAATAGATACAGCTAACTATATTATGGCGTGTTAAGTGAAGTGTAAGTTCTTGAAGTGCAGAAGATCATGTGATATGATGGAAATCTCCCAAACAGCTGGTAAATCTGCACGTGGTGAGACAGTTACGACTGATTGGATTCGTCTCTCCCACTAGGTGTGGTCTGCGTGGCGGATATGTGGAGCTGGTAAATCTGGACCGTGCTGTCATGAAATACATCCACAATCTTTTCTCGAAAGACAGCTGTGCCCCTGTGTTGGGTCAGCTTGCCCTGGATCTGATGTTGAACCCTCCACAACCAGGAGATCCCTCATACCCTCTGTATAATGCGGTGAGAACAGAGAAACGCTGCTCAGATTACCATCCTGTTCTGCAGGATGTCTAATAGCCTGCTGCCCTGCCAACTCTCTCCCCCTTTTCATTTTTGTCCTCCTCTCCAACTCTCCGTTTTGCAGGAGATACAACACATCAGGAGCACGCTGGCTCGTAATGTGAAGAGAGCCTGTGAGGTTGTGAACAGTCTCCTGGGTTTCTACTGCCAACCAGTGGAGGGAGGAGCATTTGCGTTCCCCAGAGTGTATCTTCCACCTAAAGCCATTCAGAAAGCCAAGGTTACTATACTGTCTTATAGAACCATTATACATTATAATCATATAATTATCAAACGTCACATATCTGGTGCTTTGGTTATGTGATGTCTTTGGATATTTTAGGAAGTGGGAATGAAGCCAGATACGTTCTACTGTATGAGACTGCTAGAGGAGACTGGTCTGTTGGTCAGTCCTGGTTCTGAGTACAGGCAAAAGGAGGGCACCTACCACATCAGGTATAAATCAAGTGTTTTCTAATAGACAAACTGTGGTATTATTAAAGATAAGTGGTCCATTTCAGAGAATAGTTGCATATTTCAAAAGGGCATTGTAACTGTGCGCTGTCAATAGAGGTTTGCAACATTTTACACTTAATGTTTCCAACCCTCTTTTATTTCTGCAGATTTTGCATTATTACATCTGAAGACATCATGGAGGAATTACTGAAACGCCTGAGCAGCTTTCACACACAATTTATGAAGGATTTTTCTTAGATAAAGTGACTTAAGCAGTTCAGTGAGGAGATATTTAGTACAATAAATATGACATTTACAGCATGCTGTCCATTTTAATGATGTTTGGCCAGTCATCCGTTCTCTTTACTCGTTATAGTAAAATATAGTCAACTTCTGCTTTTCAGAAAGCAAATAACCATAAACAATAAACCTCAGTCCAAAATCCATACGAATGGATTTCCTCACGCCTCAGTGCGAGTTTATCATTTGCTTCAAAAAGTACAACAGTCCAGAATCCTGATCAGTTCAGCACATTAAGTGCCAACTCAAGTACTAAAAAAATTCTTAAAACAAAATGACCCTCTCCACAGAAAACAAAAATAAAGATACTATCATCTTTCTTGGTTCTTCTGTACCAGACATTAGATCCAACGCACATGTGTAGAAAGTGCTCATCGTCAATCCACCTCACTGTCGCTGTTGTAATTCTGAGCCAAAGGGTTGCAGTGTGTATTGTTGAGCAGCTCTACGAGTAAAGAGATGAGCTTTCCGTCTTGAGAGGAGTAGGTGATTGCGTTGTTGGGACTGTTGAGGTTTCGGTACAGCATGGTCTGAATGGAAGTGCGTAGCTCCCACAGCAGCTCCCACGTCTCAAGTGTCACCTCACAGTGCACCAGAGAGCGACCAGGAAATGACACTTCCAGTCTGTCTCCTCTCACTGGGACATAAGAGAAAACAGTTATTTATCATCAAGGTAGGAGGATTTCAGTCTGTACATCTAGCAGGACAATTATATTTTATTTTTTCTGGTTTATTGCTCATCGACAGCTTTAACGCTGTTTGGAAAACCAACCCAGCCAATCAGAGAAGAATTGGGATGTCGTCTTTCTTGCCAGAATCAAAGAGTAGCAAAAGAAAAAAGACTGTTGGGATTCACACAGCTATACAAATTGCTCAATTAACAGAAACAACTTTAAAAATCTGAATATATATCATTAATGAAACTGAAAAATGTTAAGTGCTCCTAGCAACCGCAGCTGCTAGTCGACTGAAAATCACAACTTGGTTAAAATGACTGAACTAAACACACAGTATGCACCAGCATACCAAGTATACCTACTTTGAATGTTGAAGCAAAGGAATACATTTCATTCTGGGAACATGTTAGAGTTTATTACACTTGAATGACTGTAATGTAATGTAATGTATCATGTAGATAAAAACGGGCCCCCTTTACTGACTTTAAATCATAATAAAAGAAGGGTGTTAATGTGTGGTATTGTTTATTTATTAAAAATGGTATCACATACATGTGGGACCAAAAGTGCAGGCAAATTGCTCTTTGTTGTATTTTCAGACTCGCTGCTGCTAAGTTAGGGACTGTTATTAATGACAGTGCAGTTCATTTCATAAACCACAGAGATGTACTTAAAAAGTCTGACAGGGTTGGGGTCTCAACAACCAAAGGACTTCAGTTGACACTGTATTTCCTCAGGTCCTCAGCAATACACCTAACAAGTTGAAGTTGATCGGATGAGTGGTTGTTGTGAAAGAGACAGATTACTCTATTATTGGGAAGCCAAAATAGCTCTACCTGGGTCATTGATTAGACTCCAGGTTTGATAACTCCTTCTGTCAATGTCATTAGCCGAGGGGTTCACATGTTTCTTCCAACCCTACACTGTGAATGTTTGAATCATTTATTCAATATGGACAAGAAGAGTATAATGATTTGTGTGTTATTAGTTAAAATACATTGTGTTTGTTGTGTGGTTCTGTCTTCCTGTATCACGAAACAAGATTGTGGACGTTTGTGTTGTGGTTTCGGTCTCAGAATTGTTTCACCCCTATTCTTCATGGGCAGCAGTACATGTCCTACCTGTCTCTTTGATGTCACAGTCTGTGAGCAGCAGCAGGGCCAGCGGATGGACCACAGAGGAGTCTCTGATGAAAACTTGCCCGCTGGACTTGACAGCGTAGAAGAATGTCAGCCAGCGACTAGGGAAGTCTTCCTCTCCTCTACACACACACACACACACACACACACACACACACAGGAAGACGTAAAGTTTACACGCGCATTATGTAAGTCAACACCTGCTGTAGTAAAATTTTTGAGCATGTTCAACCTGTTGACTGAGGAGCGGTGAAGCAGCACTGGTCCACCGAGTGTGCGGAAAAACACACCGTTGGGGCGAAAGCGCCCTTCTTTAGTAACCACACCTTTCTTCACCTAAAATAAATAAAAACAAACAAGTGAAAGATTTTTCTCCAAAGATAGATGTCCAAATTATTTGAAGAAGTACAGCAGGAAATAAGCTGTTCAAAGCCATATTATCGACTCCACTCTGAGAAGCTGCCATGTACCTGAATGAGGTTGGGATAGAGTCCAGCCAGCAGCACAGCTTTAAGCAGCTCATCCTGCTTGCTGTGTTCATTGTAGAGAGAAGCGTGATGCTGGCACTCACTGGCACGAGAAACCAGCTCAGCGTCATGCAGGTTCTCACTGAACTGAGAGATGAGACCTGCAACAGCATGACACAAAAACAGGAATGATTTTGTGAAGCAAGTTAACAAGTAAAAAAGTTAGACCTAACTTTGGACCCACACATTGGGTCTCGTACAAGAACATTTTCTTATTTGCTTCGTATGTCTTTTTTCTCTGACACACAAACTTGTTGCAAGATCTGGCAAGATCTGGCAAGCCATGATGATGATTTTAGATGAAGTCTGTTTGTATTTATACATTTTCAGTATCATATTTAAAGTTCAAATTCATTCAGATTAAGACATTGTGATTTCAAGTCAAACAAGTGTTTTTTCCTTGAGGAGAAAGGCAGACTACCTCTTCATGACTTGTATGACCGGTCAGAACCGCTCATAAATTTCATTAGTACCACAGAAAATTATTTCACTCATTTGAGCCACTTCATCCCTAATCTGTGTTTGAGGGACAAAGTCGATGAGAATGATATTTCACACCAACCGTTGATGAATCGAAGGCTGGTCCTGGACAGAGTGTGTGTGTCCAGATATTCATCTCTGTCCTCTCTGTTGCCCTCGTGCTGAACTCTCCTCCAGCCTAACACAGCTCTACTGAACACCAAATAGTCACTGTAGCTGGAGCCGCTCAGCGCCTCTTTCGCCTGGAAAAACAGAGCACAGATGAAGTGCGTTATATTCAAGAAGTCAAATCCGTTTTATTATGACTATTATTCCAACTATGTAGATTAATAAACATCTCACCTTGTTGACTAGTGCTCGGTTCTGCAAGCTGTTGTAGAAGGGGTCTCTGGTCAGACAGGCAGCTATAGACAGCATGGGCAGAACACACCTGAACATGGCACTCAGGACCAGCACTTTGCCCAGCCGAGGGTCACATGACATACAGGCAACACGCTCTCCTAAAGGCGTCAGGGTTTCTGTCCCGTCCAGAACTCCTGCCAAAACAAAGACATCGACATCAATTTAATCCAGCACAGAAATACATATACGTGCAAAGTTAGATGCATAACATGATTAAAATATCATCCAGAGCATGAATTGTTCAGACTCACTCACCTATTTCTTGTAGATTTCGGACAGCTTCTCTCACAGCTTCTTGCTCTGGACTGTCCAACACTTGAGATAAGAAATCTTCAGCCTTAACAAAAGAAAAACAAGACTAGGTCAAAACCTAGTACGTGGCTGGACCGCCTATGGTCAAATCCTGATTTTATAACCATGACATGGCCTCAACACAGCTCACAGCCTTCGTCTGGGATCCACAATAATTTAGCCTTTATTTACTTCAACTCCTACTACCAACTACTATTCTGGTCCTTCATAGAATTTAACTCACTTTCAATTATTTCGACTCAACTGAACTTAATTCATTTCACTCAATTTAATCAATTTGAATAAATTTAAGTGAATTAACTTCATTCAAGTTAATTGAATTGATTTAATTCAAAGTCGCTTTGGCAACACTGGACAGGCAAAGCTCCTGTGCACCAGTCAGGGCAGCTGTGGCAGATCCATCCAGTCGACCACACCGCTATAACCAATCCGGCTTTAGACTGAGGAAGGACCGCCTACTTAATTAACATACAGAAACCGAGATACATAAATAAATAAAATGTAGAAATACATACATAAATCCTGAAATGCAAAAATAAATAAATAAATAAATAAATAAATAAATGAATGTTGCGGTCCAGCCAAAAATGACATAGGGCATCATTCAATATATGAGAAAATACCAAATAACAGTTTAACAAACACACAAAAGCTATTGTTCTCCGTCAGTACCTTGCAGTTACGACTGTGGATTTTGGTCTGCATTACTAAACTCTCCAGCGGGGTGCGCAGAATCTCAGGGATCGGAAATGGAGTCATGGATTCCAGCTGTTTTCGTGGGAACAGGTGGTAGGACTGTCCCGGCTGACATCGCCCTGCTCTCCCTTTTCTTTGAGTGACATTAGAGCGGGATATCCAAACTGTGTCCAAACAGGACACCTGGAAAGCCAAATGAAACAGGTTGGATTTGTTGCCTTTTTACATTCCAGCAGAAAATATCACAATCCCCAAATCTACACTTTTTCAGATCTGAAAAGGTTAAATGAGAAACTGGAGTAAAATGCAGATAGTATTACACTAACCTTTGTCCGTGGGTCATAATTCTGTTCTTTGTGAGTTCCAGCATCCACCACATGGACAATGTCATCTATGGTGATGGAGGTCTCAGCAATATTGGTGGTGAGCACAATCTTCCTCTGGCCCTTTTGGGGGTGCTGGAACACAGTCTGCTGGTCGGCCACTGATAAACTAGAGTGCACTAAAAGAAAAAAAGGAAATAAATTATAAATGCATTCTCTTATACTTAAAAGACATAAGAGAAGTCTTTGTCTGTGCTCTTACATGGCAGGATCATCTGTGAGCCCAAGGAAAAGTGGGGCTTCCCCTCCAGTTTCTCCTGAACTGCCTTGATGTCCTGCCATCCAGGGAGAAAACACAGCACTGCACCTGAAGCATGAGGGGGAAGGAGTTTGAGGGATCATCTTAAACACTGCTGCAAGGGCATTATTTAAATTTAAAAAAAAAAAAAGAAAAAAAAAAAGAAAAGTTAGAGATAGTGTATTAGTTACCTGGTTCTCCATGTCTGTCAATGTGCTCGATTACATCAGCCACTAAATCTAGATCGGGTGTTGCCTCAACTCTTCTTTCCTTAAACAAGATAAAATACCATTTCACATGATACAGCATAAGCGAAAAGAATCTTATGCACAGAATATACAACAGTGGGATGAATTTAAAGTAATGCATCACATCAAAAACTAACAAATCCATCCAGACTTCAGGCTCACCTGCTCGTCTGTCTCCTCTCTTTCTTGGACTGGCAGTGGGCGTCCCATCTCTCTCAGCACATCCTCCAAGTATCTCTCCTTCACCGGGTGCATGAACCCTGGCACCTTCACGATTGGGCAGCCTCCAAAGTATTGGGCCAGCCTCTGGTTGTCCCCAGTAGCGCTCATAAGCACCACTCGTAGGTCGGGGTTTTCTTTTAAGCTGGAGCGCAGTAAGACCAGCAGCAGGTCTGTGTTTATGTCTCTCTCGTGGACCTCATCCACCACCACGTGACTGATTCCCTTCAGGGACGGGTTCGACTGCAGCTTCCTCAGCAGGATGCCCACTGTGAGGAAGAGCAAGGCTCCTCCACTGTGCTCGGGAGGTCGGCTGTCAAGTCTCACCTATGCACGGAGAAGTACTTATTCTACAAAAACTCCGAAACAGTCAAAGATTCATCAACTAATGTGAATTACTATAATCACAATAGCATTACAACGGAAGAAAGCTTTACTCTTGAAATACTTTAAAGCTTCTGCCAGTCATAAGCAAAAGTCTGTTACATTGACATGAAATCAAATTATTGAATTAATAAATTTCTGAGTGCTCATCCTACAATAACAGTACCGACGGCCAGAAGAAAAACAACAGTTATTGTTCATTTTTATGTAGCTTTGCCTGAAAAACGCAAAAGTTATTCAGTTCACTATCACATAACAGAGAAAGGCAGCAAATCCTCACAAACAAGATGCTGGAAGCAGGTAATGTCTAGAATTTTTTGCTTTAAAATGACAAACTATATAAGAAATAGTTGTCCAGCAACTTGTCAATTAATCTAATAATTTCAGATCTAATTAACATAATATATTAAAAAACAAATGTATGTGTATTCTGTAAACCTGTATCTACCTGATGTCCCACAGAGTTTCTTAGGGATGGGCCCATCTCATGAGCAACACGATGGGCCACCGACACGGCACTGATCCGACGAGGCTGGGTCACCAGGATGTTGCAGTCGGCTCCCTCTCCGCCTCTCACACAGTCCTCCAGCAGGAAGCGGGGGATCCGTGTTGTTTTGCCACATCCGGTTTCACCGGCGATCACCACCACCCTGGAAGACTGCACAGCCGAGATCACACGCTGACGGTAGTCATCAACCGGGAGTTTCACACCCAGTACAGGGTTTGCCTGCTCCCATTCCTCCTGAAGGTAGGTATTGAGCTCCTGAGCCTCCTCTTTTGACAAAGGTTTGTATGGTCTGCCTGTGATGGCGTCTGCCACCAAGTCCTCCTCTTCTTTTTCTTCCCCTTGGTCTACTGTCTGCTCTCCTTTTGCTTCATTCTCCTCCCACAATTTCTGCACTTCTTCTGCCACCGGGTACTGTTGAGAAGAGGATGAGGTTTTAGCTTTGACAGAAAATTAAAATACCACCACATGCCCTACGAGAGTAGTTCCCAAACTGGGGGTTAGGACCTTCAAATAGGTGCCAAGATAAATCTGAGGAGGTCAGGAAAATAACTGATGAAATGAAAAGTATATATATTTCTTTTACACAAATTTTGCCTGTGATAAAAGAGACCATAACCTGTGATGAGGGGGTCACACTAGAGATCCACTAGGACACCCGAACATTAAATCAAACATCAATTCAAATCTTTGGGCATTATTGTGCTGCTATAACATCCTCTGATCTTCACTGATTTGTTGCCACAAAGATGAACACACTTTGGTTTAATATATAATTGTATGTTGTGACATTAAGAATATGTCCACAAATTTTTGACTGTGTAGTGCAGACACACGAATGTCATCCATCTTACTCACCTGTGTGAGATACTCCCTCATACGAGTCTCCAGGTAATTTGGGATTTCCAGTGGGAGGGGGCGTCTCTCCCTCTCTCCTGCCTCCCTCACCTTTTCATGGTTGTACTTGGCATGAGTCAATGGATTGTTGTTTTTATCCAGCAGCTCTAGCTCCTAAACCAGGTGACATGATACATATATTAGTACTGTTCTAACATGCAAGAGCATAGTATTTCTCCAAAGTCATTCCCACCTTCAATTTCATGCAGGCGAGAGCTGCAGCTTTCTTCTCTGCTGTCACTCTGTTACTTGCTGTAGCTGTGAACTTCATCTTCTCAGGCCAGAGCACGGTGAGTTCACATTTCTTTTGCTTCCCTCCAGTGGTTCGGAAATTCATTAGCTCCTTTAATGACAGACAGAGATATGGGTCGAGAACGTACAAGCTAGAAGTGATTAGTTTCCATCGTGGTGAAGACGAGAGCTACCAACCCTGATTCTGTTCGATGATGTGGCCACCTGGATGACCCTGCCCAGGAGAGATTTAGGTTGAGGAAACAGGGAGAGAGCTTCAGCAACATTGGAGGTGTCCTCTACAGGGGACTGGTATTGTTTGAGTTCATCTGCTTTGGCTTTAGACATACGGACATTATTTCTCCATGAGTTGTCCTCATTATCGTAAAAGGGTGTATGTAGCCCTCCACTCCCTTGGCCAGCTCTCCTTCTGGGGAGCTGATTGTTTGGACCAATCACACCCATTTCCTGTGCACAAAGAGAGTAGAAGAAAAGAGTGAAGGAGCAAGTCATGACACGGAAGTAAAATAAATAAAAAAAAGTGTGTCCACTTTTTACAGTGTAAAGTCTTACTCTGAGCTTGAGACAAGCAGCAGCTGCAGCAAGTTGTTCTGCATCACTCCTCTTGGAGGCATAACCTTCCTCTTCAATCTTGCAGGGCCACATCAGTGTGACAGTGGCTTTCTATCGAAACAAAGTTGCAGTTCAAAACTTAAAATCATCTATGAGAGACCTCTCAAGTACATGGTGCGTCCAGAAACCCCATTTAATCACGACATTTGTTCTCACCTTGACCCCCACATGTTCAGTGTAGCTGTACTGGATGAGATGGGACAGGTCACTGACTCCCAGTGACCGAGAGATTGTGTTATTCAAGAGGGTTTTAGGATCTGGAAACTCCTTCAGCAGCTCTGCGTTAAGGTTAAACCAATAAAATAGTAAAAACAAAAAAAGGTCAGACACACAGTTGTCGGAGAATTGGTGACAGAATAATATCCTGTTGGCTGGTCGGCTGATAACCCCAAATGATAAGCTACATAACTATTCAGAATTTCTTGCCGCTTGGGTTGTTCCAGTAAGTCCTAAAGATCTCTGAATAGTTTTTACCACCACTCATTCTGGAATCCTTACTTTGACTAGACACATTCATTTTCATTTCCCTGATCCTTGTGAAAGCTGCTGTGGGCAAAAATGTGTTTCTTAGCACGCAGTGGCAACAACAAGAAGATTGGAGCTTTTTTAACATGATATTATTACAGCAGACCTGCAATCGTCTCATGGTGGGATGGTTGCATGGAGAGGGACGGAAGACTGGACTTTGCCGTTCAAGTAACGTCTAATAGCTAATGAAGTGAGAAAAAAATGATACAGCTATGAGAACTGTGCTTTTATACAGCCATTCTCTATTTATTATGTCATTACAGCTTCCTTAAGGCTTGGGTAAACCTTGAACTATAGTAGTGAGCGGATGTTTTCATGATGTTTCTATGATGTTTTAGGAGGGATGTCCTTGAGGTTTAGCAGTGCTGCGAGCTGTCAACTGTTAGCCGTTAGCTAACTTAGCTAACAGCAGTTTTCACTCACCTCGTTTAGTCTGAAAATCGGAAGCACCGGGTTTCTCAAATCTTCCAGCTTTTGTAGTGTACCACCGCATTTCTTGGCTCCAGTTGGACGCTGTTTTGCCTCCTGTGTAAACACATTTGGCGATTTTGCTCAGCCCTCTCAGGCGCACGAGTAAAACGCCGGGTAGCGCCATTTTTAAACTACAATCTCTTCTTCTGCGGCAGTGAGCGGAAGTAGACAACAGCATTCACAGCGACACCGTTTGGGTGTAAAATAAACTTACATTAAAATGTTATTAAAAATGCTATTAATTTTACGTTAATCTTAATTACCGAGACATCTCTTAATCTGTTCAATTTATTTAAAGTAAATAATTAAATAAGAAAAATACATGAAACATGACTTTCCTTATACTTGACCCCTGTGAAAAATTAAATTCTAGAATGTAAATTTGGGTGGTATTGGATCCAGAGATCCTGTAAAAGGTGTATCAGCAAAACCAAATTCCCTTGACCATCATAAGCTCTTAATCAACAAATCAAATTTCTCCTTACACTGCATATTAATTGCTGTTGTTATAACATATAACGTAGTTCCTCTTGCTTCAAAACCTCAAAATATAAAGGCAACTAACCCCTGTTATGGTAAAATAATATTGAAATTTTGGTGGGGCTTCAACAGCTGTGGGTCCCAAGAATTGTCACCTCCTCTCACTGCATGCAAGGTTGCAAAGGGCACATCTGAAGTGTGGATAAAACATAACAGGGTAAAAATCAGTTTATTGCATCGTACTGGGTATAGTGTCTCAATCAGCACTTGCTGTTTACAGTTTGAATTCCAGGAATTATCTGACTTCTTTGCACACCTGGAGAAACTCCCAGACTCTGTCTGGTGCTGTCTGGACTGCAGCCCATAAATAGTGCTGCTTGAAAAAATAGCTCTTTTTTATCAATATGGAACTGGCATTTGTCCTCCTCTTGGTTGTCACAACTGGTGAGTTCATGTTAAACACATTGTATTTGTTGGTGCGAGTTGCTACTTAAAATCAATATGAACCAAGCTGATATCTTGATTTGAGAGAAAGCTGGGGACCCTCTTACTCTTATTCAGCTTCTCTCGTTTCTGTGTCTCACTGTGTTGAAGTTTCTGGGTGTGGTGTACCCAATTACGAGCCCAACACCAGCCGTGTGGTGAATGGGGAAGAGGCCCGTCCCTACAGCTGGCCATGGCAGGTGAGTCAGTGCAAACACTTTTTCACAAAAATAATTTTTACCCATCTGATTCTCATACTGCTCTAAATCATTCAGTTTTCCATTTATCTGTAGGTGTCTCTGGAGTCTTTCTTCCCCACCTGTGGAGGAACACTTATTGCTCCTGACTGGGTCTTGACTGCTGCTCACTGCATCACGTGAGATCAAGTTTACATCTCAGATAAACAATTTTACAACTAAAATAAATGGCATGTTAGATCTCTGAATTAATCTAGGATGTTTTTCCTTGCAATGGTCACATATCATTTCTAGATTAAAATGACAGTGATGTAATAGTAATGTCACTGATATTCATTTCTAAAACTCATTTTTAAAGACATAGAGGCTCTTTTTTCCCAACCAGATTCCACACATACAGGGTGGTTCTTGCTGAGCATGACATGAAAAAGCAGGAGGGACCTGAACAGTCCATTATGGTGAAAAAAATGTTCATCCATCCCAAATGGAACGACAACTGCGTGTCTTGTGGGTAGGTTATTGTCCTTTCTCAACATATTCAGCCCAGCAATCTAGATCTCAGGTGGATTATTAAGAAACACAGTAAATATGTTCTTTGAAAAGGTGCTTACCCTGAGACCTTGGGAGTTTCTGCTGAACAGCAGCTGAGTAAATAGAAGTTTTGTAAATGTAAATGAATGCACCTAAACATGTAGTAGAAACCGGCGCTCCACACAATTATGTAGACTCTGAGTTATTATGAAAATATAATTAATGACAAGTTTAATTCTTTGTGTTTCATTCTGTTATGTAGGAATGATATTGCCCTGCTAAAGCTGGAGAAGAGCGCTGTTATTAATGATAAGGTTCAGCTGGCTTGCCTGCCACAGCCTGGTGCTACCCTTGCCCACAACCAGCCCTGTTACGTCACAGGCTGGGGCCGTCTCTTCTGTAAGATCTGCTGCCAAGTCTGCTAACACCTAGCTCATGTCGGGGGAAGTGCACCCTTGTGGAAAGCAAAAATATTTAATTGCTCTGGGACCTGAAGATATTCATCAAATATAATTCAAGTTTTCAGCTGTTGTTACAATGAGTGTGTCCATTTCTCTATAGCTGGAGGTCCCCAGGCAACTACACTTCAGCAGGCCCTACTTCCTGTGGTGGATCACAGTATCTGCAGTAAAAGTGACTGGTGGGGCAGCTCGGCGAAGACAACAATGGTCTGTGCAGGAGGAGAGAGCAAGTCAGCATGCCATGTAAGAAACAACAACATAGCTCCATACTTTATGTGACACAAATGATACCATTTTCTCCAATGCTCCAATATCTGCTATAATCTTCCAGGGTGACTCTGGCGGCCCTCTGAACTGTAAGGGCAGAGACGGTAAATGGTATGTTGAGGGAGTGACTAGTTTTGTGAATGGGCGTGGATGTAATACTCCTAAAAAGCCCACAATGTTTACCCGTGTGGCCTCTTTCATCCCCTGGATCAGTGAGGTAAGGGAAACATCACTTTACATGAAGACATACAGTAAATGTACTGTTGTGGCTTTTTGTGAAATGTACAAACCTTGTGTTACTTCCTTGCAGACCATGGCCCAAAACTGAAGAAGTTTCCGTACCTGAAGAAGTGACTCAACAATAAACTGTATAATGAAATGTTCATATTATGTTTGTCTTGTATTTCAACAAAAGGGGTATAGTATTCATAACATAAAGAAACATTTTAATCAGTTGTATACATTTTTTTTACAAGGTCAGGACAAGGGTAAACTTCAACATACACATATTTAACATAGTAAACATTTAAATATCTATTATGGAATTACAAAGGCATATTGTGCACTGTAGGTTCTTGGTATTTTTTAAATGAATTAAGAACTGTATTATGATCATATCTAGAACTAAAGTAAATGAAGTATATGGTTTGTTTATACTTTACAATCAAAAGCAATTGACTAAAGTAAAACTGTATATACATTTGAACATGACCAAACGTGTGAATGCAGCAGCTGCATCAAAACATATATCCCACTACTGTTCATGTGAAAAGATTATTTTCATTCAGCAGCCTTGGTTGTAGACTATGTATTGTGTGGCATAAATCATTACAAGAGATAATCATGGGTCTGAGGGTGTCCAGGTGAAGAAGTCGATTCCCTGCAGCTCCTTAGGTAAATACTCCTGCTCTACAGGGTCACTGAAGGCTGGGTTGTATTTGTAGCCTTTAGCGTAGCCCAGCTGCTTCATCAGCCTTGTGGGGGCGTTGCGGAGGTGCAGGGGGACGGGAGGCAGGGGGCCTTTGTGGTTCCTCAAACAGCCCTTCACATTACCATAGGCCTTGTAGATCGCCACAGACTTGGGTGCTCGTGCCATATACACCACACACTGGGCCAGGATGACCTGTTGAGCAGCAGATGAACAGAAGGATGACAATAGAGATGAGACACTGAAATACAACTTGTATGGCAGTAAGCCATTTTGATGGAAGACTGTATAAAACCACCAGGTTGGCCGACCTCGCATTCAGGCATTCCGATGAAGTGACAGGCCTGGAAAGCGGACACAGCCTGAGGGAGGGCAAAGGGATCTGCCATACCTGAGAGAGACATGACAAGAAAGGCATCCAGTCAGCCTGCATTCAAAATGACATTTTCTGTGGTTAAAATCTTATCTTTCAGCCAGTTTTTTCTTTCCTGTAATAAGTACAAGTTGCCTGGGGTCAGGGAAAGTGACGCACATAATGCTTAGGGACATTTTAATAGGCAACTGACAGAAGACTATTAGAATAAGTTACTTGGTTATTTAAAGAGACAGTAGACTACAGTATGTATGGCTATGTACTTTACAGCAATCCCTGTTCAACAATTCATAATTTTTACTGCAGACAACATTGCTACTAACTTTGTAACCATTTCTCACTTTTCAAAACAATGTTACCAAGTACTTCTTCACAAAGTAAATTAAAAGACAGTAACATAATACAACTACAAAGCAAGTTTCAAGTGTCACCATGCTATATGAGGACTGGCTCACAAAGAGCATAAGACCAAATCCAAATAAACCAGTGCAAAGCATAGAAGAGCAGAATATTAAATCAGTGAATTAATTAAATAAAATTCTAAAAGGATTCTGCATAAAAACAAGTTTTAGAAGAAGAGATTTCTGACAGGCTCCACTGACAGGATCTCCCCGCAAAAGCCCACAGTTATCTGTAGTTATGAGCTGAGATTATGTGACAATCAAAAACAACACAGTCTTCACTCTTGTTCAAACTGAACTAGTGTCAGTGATGTAACCAGGAACACGGCCATGCAACGCTGCAAAACATAATCAGTAAAACCTAATCTTATCCACAGAGGCAACCAGCGTGTTAAGACCAGAGGATCAGAGTGGCAGCAATGTGGCAGCGGCATGAGTGATTAGAATAAATCATAAAAGAGAAAACACCTGCGATGGTGTCATTCAGTAATTTCACATACCAACATCCTCGCTGGCAAAGCGGACCAGTCTGCGAGCCACATAGAGAGGATCCTCACCGCCCTCCAGCATGCGGCCCAGCCAGTACAGAGAGGCATTCTCATGGGAGCCTCTCATCGACTTATGCAACGCTGAGATGCAGTTGTAATGCTCTTCACCTTTGAGTAACACAGATACATACACAAAAATACGTCAACAGGTGATGCAAGAAAAAAAAAAGAGACAGATCAAGATCTGTTGGTGGCATTTCCCAAGCCTTCACTGTGGTGCAAAGAAAATTACATACAAAAAAGTTAATGACTAGCACACCATATAAAACCATAATGCAAGGAAGAACACTGTCTCTGTTAAGCTCATTAGTCAAGCTCAGGGACAGTTTCATCACCATGTGAAACAGGAATCTCAGTCTTTTGGGACAGCTGAGTATTATGTAACAGGACAGTGTAGAGGACATTTGAAGCCATTATTGTTCATCAAAAGGGGTCGGGTAGGGGAGGTGTAAATGACTGAGTGTTTCAGTTGAGAAAAATCCAAGTTAAAGTGCTTTCTAGTTTTATGAATGTACAGCACACCAGTCTTAATCAGACTCAAAGGCTTACATTTCGTGTTGTAAAGGGCACTGGGTCTGTACAAAAATGTGTGTAGCTTAATACCCCTAAGTGACATTCACACACACGCACAGAGAAAACAAACATCCCACTCCTAAGCAACCACAATCACAACTATAAACACGCCCACATTATATCTATTATATCCATTTCCTTTTATCGTCTAATGCATTTCATATGAAAGCCCCATGGCAAGAAAGTGATAACAGTTGCTGAGAGGTAATATGTTGGTGCTCTCAAGACCTCAAGTTATTTAGAACTTATTTAAAGTGAAGATATTGATGGTAGGTGTTATACTGAAGCTGCTGAGAGGATTTTAAAGATGTGGATTTGTAAAATATGTTGCATATTCCTCACATTTTAGCCATCATTGGCAATACTTCAATAATGACAGAACAGAATTATATGGAAGTTACTACAGCAGATGCTATGATAAATTTAGGGTGACCCCTTTCAGATCAGTGAGGTTCACAAGGGTTACTTAATTACAGAAACATTCAAAGTACACCCAGGCTTACCAGCTTTATCATAGAGAATATGGGACCTCTGAAGACCCTCCTTGACATGGTCCTCCTTCACCAGTATTTCTTGAGGAGAACTGCTTTGTGCCAACAGGTTTGGCTGAGTCAAGCTCACCTGAGCCTGAACAGCCAGCTGCAGACTATTGAGTCCTGTTCTTGCGTCACCATCACAGAGGTAGGCTATGGTGTCCAGAGCTTTTTGCTCAATGTAAATCTTTGGCCTAGGAAAAGAGAAAACCATATCAGTGTCAATATTTTTTATTGTAGTAATTTCCCATGTAAAGAATCAATGCCTGAGAAATAAAATGATGACAAATATTAGAGATTTGTACTCATTTATGATAAGGCCACTGCAGCATGACCATATTATAAGATATATACATATACATAAGAAATAACTGCTTGTTACTGGGTATGATGACGAATATATTAAAACATATATTCCCACACAAGTCTCTTAATTCACTTTGATATAATAATCACTGAAAGTAAAGTACTTATCAGTTTATTGTAAATGTAGTGTTTTTGTCAATTTCTGGATTATGTAGAAATAATGACTCAATTACATGTTTTGAGTCTCTGAACTTATACTGTGTTACAGCCTCAGATGTCAGTGCATCCCAAACATTACATCTGACGCAACTACTGGAATATCTCCCTGAAGATCACATACCATCTGCAGCCAGGAGTTCATATGCAAATTTGTTTCTATTAACATATCAAACCAAACCAGAGTCTTTGAGATTGCTGCAGCTCCAACAACTACTTTTACACTCCCCCCATATATTATCTAACTAAACCCAACTGAAGTAGCTGTAGGATGACACCCGGTCATTACATGTGGGACACCGAGGGCTCGGCCCCCAGAGGAGCACTTACTCGTGTCCCCCTGTTTGATCTTGACCTTTGGGATTCGCTGGATCTCGTCCCAGGACTCTGATACCGAGTGTAGCCACGGCCCTGTCCAGGATCGAGCCCATCGCCTCCACGGAGAGCTTATCCAGCACCAGCACCCTGCACCTGCTCAGCAGAGCAGCATTCACCTGGAAGGACGGATTCTCTGTGGTCGCTCCAATCAGTGTTAAAGTCCCGCACTCCACATGAGGAAGGAAGGTGTCCTACAGATACACACACATACTGAGTGAAAAAAAGGCGAGAGCAAACATATAATGAAGAGAGGTGAAAACAAGGACCATCTCTGCAGTGATGACATCGAGGCTAAGTATTTATCTGACCATTTTCATAATGCTTGCTCCATCAGAGAAATTTCTCATCTTGCTGCCACTATTGCAAAACACAGTCACTGACAACACTTGCCCTACTATAATATGTATTTTCATGCTTTGAACCTTATTGGGTCATTAAGCAAAGATCAAGACGGGTCCTCCTTGGCAACTAATACAGGGATTTACTGTCATGCAGCAGATAGCTGCATAGAGTCACGGACACTAACAGCCAACAGATTCCTATGGGAAAGTAAGGGAAATAAACTATGCAAACCTCAGCGATTAGCTTCACAACCTGTAGTGTACTACACAGACTTGCCTTTGTCATCGTGCTTCAGAAATTATTTTAAACATTTTGCAACTAAAGCTAACATTACAAACTAAGGTAGCGGCTCAGTACTCCACCTGTTGGGATTTGTTGAAGCGGTGAATTTCATCAATGAACAGGATGGTCTTCCTCTTGCACAGTCGGAGCTCATTCTGCGCCTGCTTGATCACCTCTCGGACTTCATTGGTGGACGTACTGGTTGCAGACAGATTGACAAAACGAGCTGTGCCATTCTTTTTACTGGTGCTGGCAATTATGTGAGCTAGAGTGGTCTGAAAGACAACAAAACATATACAAGGTAATTTGATTAACACATATGGTCTGCCTTCTTGAATCTTAATGGGCCCAGAGGCAAAAACGAAACTGCCCGACACCACCGAAAAAAAAAAAAAAAAATTCTGCTTAATAATGTTAAGGGTTTGATTATACGCACATATATGGCATCTTTAATCTCCAGTGTTTGAGCCATACATTTAATATTTCAGATCACGTAATGCGCCTAGCTTTGAGGGCCTCATAAATCTCATCTTCACTTCAGCTGTGGAACCTGAACACTGCTAGACAATTAAGGGAGGGAGTTAAAGAGGTCAAGTGTGAGTAAAGCATGTTGACAAAGTCTAAGTATGGCAAGCTGATGTGCAACAATCCATGCAAGTCGCTTGGCATACCCAAGAAGTCATTAACAGGCTGTATTCAGGTCTGACAAAGAGAAGAGAGGCAAGCACCAACCTGGCAGCCACAGACAGAATAACTTACCGTCAACATGGTGTAAAGGTTTCATGACTCTCTCTTTATCAAGTGCAACAGAGAGAAGAGCAATAAAAACGTACATTAAGAGAAAAGGCAGTATTTTAAGTTTTGGTTGAAGCTTAGGGCTGCACCTAATTATTTTTCACCTAATTAATTTTCTGTTATTTGACTAATAACTGATCAATCGACTGCTTGTTACAGCTGTAGTTTACATCAATTTTAAAGCAAAAACAGCACATATTCAAAAATGAGAAAATCTGCTGCTTTTCTTTATTTTATGTAATTTTTGACTGATAGTTTCACAAATCTATTATGAAGGGCATTTTTGATTGTTTCTGGCATTTTAGAGACCAAACAATTAGTCGATTAACTGAAAAAATCTCAGTTAATGATACTGATTATCTTAAAACTTCAGATATCACCATATGTGGTAAGAATAATATCCATGTTTTGCGATAGAGTGTTGATGATAGTCAGATCTCGTCAATAAGGCTATGGGTATCTCAGCTGTCACCACCACACCTTCCCGCATCCCGGTGGTCCCCAGAGGATCAGAGATGGTATTTCCTGCGAGTCCAGAAGTGACCGGAGGAGTGTTTGCTGGCCAATAACTTTACTCTGACCAAAGTATTCTTCCAGGTTGTTTGGTCGCAATATCTCCGCCAAAGGTTTGTCCATCGTTAGCAGTGTCCGTGATGATAAACCATGTGCTGTCTTCGGCGTCTGCCCGCTGGACGCAGATGTTTGGCTCTTCAGAGTATCCCTACCTGCTGGTGCAGGTTCAGCCTCATTCAGGACACTACGTTGAGCCCCCTTGCTGTCAGAAGTGGCAGCGCCTTGTTTAGTATTAAGTAAACCACTCCGTTCACTTTGAACTGAAACTTTACTCTTGTTGGTCTGAAAAAGAGAGAACATAGCAGGTGTCGGGGTCCCTGCTACAGCTTTGTTGACACCGGGGCTGGCCCATGATGGTCTGGCCGGTACAGCTTCCGCATTAATGCGCGGTTTCTTTAAAGGAGGTTCACTGTCGTCTGTGGTGGACGGGCTGCTGTCAACACCTCTCAGCAGACATACGTCGAGGTGTCCATTAATTGTGGTCGGCTCGAAGTCTTTAAAACAAACGGGACACTGCACCGACTCCAGTGCTGTGGATGTCTTCTCGTTCGCCATGTTGATTCACCGCGTAACTTTTGACCTTTAATCACGTGACCAAACACTGATTTGAGATTAACTGTTAGAAACTTGTTTTTGCATAAAAGGTATGTACAGTTATGACTTCCTGAACTCTTTTACCAGCTAAATATGACGTTTATTCGAATATTATGTTTGTTGAACTTTTTTTTATACTTCGTGGACCAATTTTGATTTCGTTACTGTATATACACACTACTACTATATATGGTATGTTGTTTGCATTTACGTGCTGTGGGACAGTCCATCATGTGGACTTTTCTTAATAATGACACTTTGAAATTAAATTTGGATTGTATCTTAGTTTAACCGCTAGGGTGGTAAGTACAGCTAACGTTGTCACTAAAATATGACTATAACTGTTTTCTTAAATGTTGGCCAGGGAAACTTGTTCTCCCCGTAGTAACTGTGGTACCTGAATGCTGCATGATCTACATACATTAACAGCCAGACTTCACACTTTGGCCATCGGTATCATATGGAGGACTTCCGGGTTTGTCCTTGGGGCTAATGATTATTTTAATTTTTGATTAATAGTAATGGAAGAGATATAAACAAAGGCTTCAAATAAATTTATGTTAGTATTATTTTGTGATGTATTAGGCTAATAGTAGTAGTAGAAGTAGTATTAATAATTGTTGATGCTCTAGTTGGTGATACTTCTGCCCTCAGAATGCTGAAGTACCTAATACCTATATACAGTATAATATCATGGAAAGCTACTTTATGTGATTTCTTATTTACTGTAAGGAAAAAATGGTTGAATTATAATTGAAAAACTAAAGTCTGAATTGTTTTACTGCTGCTGTTTTCTTACAAACTTAATTGGTGCTTTATTGCAGCCTTCCTCAGTCTTTCTCTCCTTCTCTGCTCAGATGAAAGATCCAGCCAAGAGACACATACCAGAGAGGTCAACCAGACCAGGAAGACAGCGAGAAAGCTCCGAAGGAAAGGGCCGGCGGCCAAGTGTCCCCCTCAGGGAGAATGGCCAAGTCTAAGTCAATTCATCAGTGTGCCAGCAGCTGAAACATGACCAAGCTGGCCTTGTTCCCCTTCTTAGAGAAGGTGAAAACCATGCACTGCTTCTGGGAAATGAAGTTTGAACCACAGGTATGCACGCAGTTCATGAATTGCTTATAAAAGATACTTAGCCTAGATGAAGGAGTATTAATATGCTTTTTTAATCAGCCGTTTGAGTCTACAGGAGCACCAGCAGAGGGTGCTAATGCATTTTAAAATAATGAAAATAAGTGAAATGCTGTAACACTATAGCGGCTATAGTGTTACAGCATTTCACTTATTTTAAAATTAGGCTCTAGTATAGCCTAATGGTGCATTCATTAATTAGCCCAAATTATAAACAGAGACTAACCACTAATGATCTTTTTATAGTAAAGATTTGAAAAAAACAATGTGGCTTTGGCATTTATTTTCAATGGTGATTCAGTATGGTCTCACCTAGACTTTCAAAAACAAACCCTCTAAAATTTACCAGGGTATAAAATGACAAAATATTACACCATGTGTAGTGTCCACTCAGCACACCGTGTAAGTGCCAAAATAGCTTAGTCAATTTTATCAATTGCCAAATTATGTGATGCCTGAGAAGTGCCAAAAATAGCGTAAAACATGTAGTATGGGATTCAATTAATCACATGTTGTAGCTGAAACTTACAGTCTACTGTAAAGCAAACTGAGACATTGTAAGCAATCAAAGACCATATTTGCTTTTTTTTTCCACCATGGCAGCCAACAGATTCATTTGAGCAGTGAGAGCAGAGCTCCCATCCAACAGTGAGTTCATTATTGTATTTGGCAGAGCTGGTTGAGAAGCCAGAGGAGGCTGGGGAGGTTTCCAGACATGCTGCACATAACTATGACTGGCCACTGTTGGCCAGATGATGCATTCTTGGCCATCTGGCCGTATGGGTTTCACACCCAAAGTGTGTGATTGTTGCACAACATAATGTAGACTATGTTCTATTTTCATCTGGATTGACACTTGATAATAATTCTATATTTGAATTACTGTTGAATTACATCTGTTTACTCTGGATACTGTAATTTAGGTTTAGCAAACAATAAAGGTTGATATGAAGTTGCAATGCTGAGAACATTGAGTGTAAGCCCCCACGTGTTAGTTGATGTGACATTTGCAGCAGTAATCCAATAGCACGGGCTATTATTTACACCACATCCAAGTGTCTGTGTTGACAGGGAGACAAGACCCACCATCACAATTCTCTCAGTTTTAAATGCCCTTTGCTGTGTTAAAGATTAATCTTGTTTTTGTTAGACTATGGCTCACATAGTTTATTCACAGAGAGGACTATTGGAGAAAAGGACATTGAAAAAAAGGCTTGCTCTCTAGCGAAGATGGGAGGTTCAACAGAGTGAGAGAGCGAGCATGTCTCTCAGACACCCTTTGCTGGCACCTGTCACTCTTTTGTCATGAGGACAAACTGCCCGTCCTTTGGCTCTAAGTGCTGGAAGGAATGGGGGGCGTTGACTGAATTAACAGCGGCAGTGGAAGATAGTGTAGTATTAACATTTGGGTGGTCCCTACCCTGAGAAGGAGCTGCCATCTCTTCTAACCCTCCACTTGAGTCTCTTCTCCCTAAGCTCCATAAGATCCTTTGTAGTTAAAGATAGCAAAAGCAAGACTTACAGAAGAAGGATGAGGAGTAAAGTGAAAGGCATGGAGAAATTTGTCACAGGCTTGGACATTTGGCTGGTCAACAGCATGTGTTTGGTTGCCTCCTACTTTTGGCGCAGGCTGGGTGATTTACTTTGCTATAGGAGAAGGCACAGAGCATCTACTCCACCTGGCATTCAGGTATATACAAGGATGTTTGAGGAACACATTTTTACTGTCTTTCAAATCATCAGAGTTGTTGTCATGAAGTGTGTGTATGTTTCAGTGTTTCAACTAACTGCCAGATGGGCCAAAGACAATTTATAGGACAAAAAAGTTGTATTATACTCTGTTTTACACTCAAAATCCACTTTATTTTATCATTAAGTCCAACTGAGAGAATATTTTGCTCATCAAAAGCTCAGCTGTGTCAGGACTTTTCTTGATGTCTTGACTCACACCTGTGTCAGTCACCTTTATGATCGTTTCATAAAGTTTTAGTCTTATTGTTACTATTCTCAGGTACCTTGGATAAAGCTATGATACCTCAAATACATAAGTTATTACTGATGCTTGAAGCCTGTGGGCGATATTCAGCTCACAAGTCCTTTTAAACACAACACACGAGCTGTCAGCAGGGAACTGGGGCTTCGTGCTGTTGTGATGTATTGTTGCATCAGGTTTCACGAAGAGTAGGCTCTCGCCCATTTCTTATGACAGGCACAATGCTAATGGAAATGGGTTTCCTCTTTAATCACAGCTCTATAATTACTTTACCCTCAGACAACAAGCAAGGTTGTCTCGTGATTAACTATGTTAATATATTTTGTATTATACTTTTACCAGTTATGGTTAGATATTTTGAGATGACTAACACCTCACTCTGCAGTTTATTCTTATTTCTTCTCTGCTTATGGCATCACGTTATCTATATATCTGTTTTGTCTAGAAAACCATAAGCATTTAGCTGCAAGACCTGCACGTGAAACCATCTTTGAGTTACCTTTTAAAGTACATTTTATTTGTGTGACTAAGTGCTTACTTTTACACTCATATTTCCTATGTTATCCTCCAGCTAAATGTCACATCTAATTGAATTAGTTAGCTCAACATATGGGGATTATCCTTTCAGCAGTAATGTGCTTCTCAGTGAAACACGAGACTGGTAGTTATGATGCATATGTGTTTTGCTATGTTATGGATAGCAGCAGGAAGGATAAAACACGAGATAAGAGGCCGGTGGTGTTTACGAGTGCAGCGTTTAGAGAATCCGCTGTGAAGGTACAGTGAGCTCTAGTGGTAGAGCAGGACAGGCACACCGAAGGCAGCAAATCCTGCTGTTGCTGCCATCTAGTGATTAAATATTTTACATGGCTGCTGAGATGCAGCGTTGCTTTAATGGTGACATCACTGTCACAGTGTATGTGGTTGGAAAAGCAGGAGACTTGAACTTCTTAGATCAGTGCAAAAAGCTTTTTGCCTTATAACACTATTTCATTACCCTCTTAATATCTGCATCTCATGGGTTAACTGTTTCTTTCAAAGTAAGATATAACCCAGTGTCACTTTACCTGATTTAAATTGTAAAATGCATATTATACCACCTCGATGTAAATATATAGACTGCACGCAGATTATAAATACACACATTCTGTAGTTATCTTTAATGCTGTGATAGTGTGCCTCAGAGACGAGCTGAAGCCCTCTCACCCTCTCTTGTTTCCATTCCTCGCTTGGCATTTAGGAGATCCGTACTGACATTTACCATAGGAGATCCACAAGTATGTGACTAGGCTTTCTTTGCATTCTTTCACTAACCTTTAATAACCTTTATCACATCCTCAATGTAAAGCGCTTCTTACATTTCCATAGTGATAATAATAGTGCATCGGGGGAACATCTTCCTCAAGTGGAGGCACTGAATTTGAAAGTATTACTCAAGTACAAGGGAGATTATATGTGCTGAACGGAAATAAACGTACTACAGCAGCTTTTTTCAAAAGTACTCTGGTTCCCTAGTTATGTAAGATTCAATGTGTCATCCTCACTTAAACCATGAATGCACTTAATTGATGGAAAAATAGGTGATGGTGGAAAAGTTTTTTTTTTTTTTTTTTTTCTGTAATTTTTAAGCAATTTGCCATAAATGTTCTTAGCTACTCAGATATGAATATTTGTTGGTTTTCTTAGTCATCTGTGGTAGTAAACTGAGTACCTTTTTGGTTTTCAACTGCTGGCCGGACTACCATTTCACCATGTCAGCTTGAACTCTAACAAAATGTTGTAAAAAAATAAATACACTGTTGCCCATAAAGTTGGAATAATTTTGTTCTCAGACACAATCCTCTGTTTCTTCCTATTTAAATGCATCAGTAATCACTTTTGACCAGGTGCAATGATTATATTATGTGTCCCAATTACCCAGGTGAAATGGAATAAATCACATTGTCACAATCATTTCATGGAAAGAGGTAAAAAATATTTTATTCCAACTTTATGAACAACAGTGTATTTGTCGTAATGTTGTAAAAACTATTTTATTATTTTCGGGCAATTAATCAACCAAAGATATAATAGATAATGAAAATAATCCTTAGATGCAGCCCTAATGCACCAAAAATTAGTACTACTCCTGTTACATAATCATTTATTGCTCACTCACAAACAGTGAAATATGTGATCAGGCTCTTGCATTGCTTTGCAAACATTAGTATTTACACCTCCTGTTCTTCCTTTGGTCAGGAGAACTGTAGAAGAAGTGGATTATGTTTTCATTCTTACAGCGAAAACCAACCCTGTTCCAATCTCTGAGGTCACACTGTTCATCTTTTATGAACAATGCCATCTGCTGTTCAAAGTAGAAACCTAACAGTGGTGGAAGACGGACTCAGATCATTTACTTTACTCATTTACTAATTGCCAATAAAAATAGAAAAGAAAATCACAATACAAATAAAAGTGATGCACTCATAATTTGTCAAAAGTATTATCAGCAAAATATACTTAAAATGTCAAAGTTAACGTCTCATTTTGCAGAATGGTACCTTTCAAAGTGGCATATTATTATATATATATTATTTCTTATAGTATTTGGTTATCATTTTTGATGAATTAACATTAAGTGTGATTTTAATGTCACAGTTGGTCTATGTGGAGCTAATTAAAGTACTTTACAGGGCAACTAATCTACAGCAGTGCATGATGTTTTATAAGTTAATCATGATTTATGTCATGATTAAATCTGCAAAGTAACTGTCATTATTTAATCTACTAATCTGAGTAAATGTTCTTACTTTCCATCACTGCTAGTTAATCAATAACTGGACCAGTCACGTGCAGTTTCACATGATTTAGTTCCTCAGAGTGTGTCCAGTTCCAAAAGGCATCATGCGAAATCTCTCAACATTTGGATACTTCAACTTGCATGCGATTTATCACATTTTACAAGACAGGCATGTGTTTGAATGTGTGTGTGTGTGTGTGTGTGTGTGTGTGTGTGTGTGTGTGTGTGTGTGTGTGTGTGTATGCTCATTCTCATTCAATGTACTGAATCAACATGATGTAGTCCAATGTAGTTTTATAACCCTATATAAACAAAACCAAAAAGTGCAGCAGCAAAATGTGTTTACATGCCAAGAGAAAACCTGAGATGACAGGGAAAGAACAGGAGAGACTTCTTAGACATTAGCATGAGGAGTAAAGTTTCATGGCTGCCACACACATTTAAGCCCACAAGTTTCCAAGAGAAAGTGTAGCCAGAGCTGGAAGGCTGTGGCGACGGAGTGGAGACTGGAGAGGTGACTGGACAGTAGCCACAGCACACAGACCCCACTGCTTCCCAGGACATTGTGTTCTCAGTAAGGGAGGTGGTGCTCCATTTTTAAAGGTTCACCTTCTCCCAAATGCCAAACAAATAGCCTAGCCAGATAGCCAATAGCCAGAGCACCATACAGGTCACACTATTCAACCGTATTATTCATAACTATTCACATGTATGCTTATGCAGAAAAGACACTGTCCAACCTAAGATACATTTGTGCACTGAAGTCCCTTTTTGCCTTTTTGCTCAGTAACATGCACTTTATTTGATGTAGAAAAACCATTTTGCTTTAATGATCGTCCCTGAGGCCTTCATTTATTTCGCCATTACGATGTCTTGATTTCAAATGTTCTCATAATTATGCATATTATAATTAGGTCATCTATAATAAACAACAATAGATTAAAGATACAATGATAACTCGATAAATCAATTAATTTATCTATTTCAATGATCAATTGATTATATTGAGGTGTTTTTTCCATGCCCTGGGTCCAGCCTCTCAAATGTGAGCATTTGCTGATTTTCTCTTTCATATATGACGCTAGACTGAATAAATTTGGAATTAAATTTTCAGGTTGATCAGAGAAAAATTAGACATTGGAAGACATCACCTTGGGCTCTGGCAAACTGTGATGAGCATTTTTTTAAAACACTGATCAAAGGCACTAAACAACATCAAAAGAGAGTAAAAAGTACAAGATCTTGATTTCATAATCATTACGAGCGCAAAGATGGTGACCTTAAAAGTTTGAAGGCTTACTGCTCAAAGGAGCAAAGCCTTCTGCTGTATATCAGTTTACCTTTACATTTTTTCCACTCGCGAAGTCCTCCAAGTTCAGACTGCAAGGTCAACCAGGACTCACACAAACACAAAATTATTCATCGCATTTTACACAGGCTATCCGAGCATTCATGCAGTTGACAGTGTCTCCAAACATCCTGATAATTTTGCTGTCACATTAACTAAACAACATTTTAATCATGCACCAGTAGACAGGGCATTGATTTCTCAGCTGCCACCTTGTGTCCTCGGGCTGTGTGTACACATGCTAGGGCTTGGCAGAGAGGGTGAGAGAGGACTTTGAGCACCAGTCATGGCGCTGTTACTTTCTTTGGCATTAGCTTCACTGCAAAGTGTAAGTGATATAAACTCGATATTTGCTTTATGTCATAAGCCTCAGAGGCCTGAGGTCTGTTTATATCCCCTGCAGGGTTTAGTAACCTTAAAGCGCCCCTCTACCTCTAAGCAATGCAAAGCAGAGCAATGCATGCTAACCTTTAATGTGCAGCAAAATAACAGTTACATTTCTTTTTTCTCTCCTGTAACATTTGTAAAGAAATACTTTTTTTTTTTTTGCAAATCTTTTTATTGATTTTATATGTGCAAAACATACAAAAAAAGAAGAAAAAAGAAAAGGAAAACAAAAGCTACCATTGAAGGGAAGTACACTAAAGTCCATAAGTAACTGAATATTTCTTTCCTGGTGAACTAGAACGCAGTGAACTCTCAGGTCTTGACAATAAAACATTCAAATATGATGTAATAATAATAAAAAAACCAGTAAAGAAATACTTAGCATTCCTCTTGCTGCTTTTGTGGAAAGTCCAGTCTGTCTGTTCCATGCACACCACTGCGTAAGAAAGTTGACTGTCGATGCCCCTCAAATTGACACAACATGCTGCAAATGACCTACGTTGTCTGTCATCTGTTGGCATCCAGAGACAGGTGTGAGCGTCCCTGTCTCTCCCTGACTGATTAATGGTTGGTTCCACTCCCATCTGTTTCTGCCCCCGTCATATTCACTTGTTGTATTCCGCCATAGCCACCTTACGCAGAGTGAACCCAGATGAAAATAAAAATACAGGGGAATGCATGTGGGTCAGTCGGCTCTTACAAGCCTGTAGGAAAATTACACAAGGCTTTGCACAGCGCGGCTCGGTTCTTAGCTGAATAAGACAGAGAGTAATATGCAACCTGCAATGATGACTTGTCATGAAATATGAGCCGACAGATAAACTCCTTCCCTTCCCTCACCTTACCGCGCTTGATTCCACTCTATCTGCCAAGTTCACAGCCTCCTTCCTGGTCCCTGCACCCATGAGCCCAGATTTTGGCTTGAGCCGCCAGAGTGAGGCGAGTTTGGCTGGGGTCACTGCGGCTCAGTTTGCAGTCTGCGCCTCTTTTGTCAAAAGTATTTCATGGTGGCTTGAGCAAAGCTGGATTCCGCCTCTGCTCTATCATCTGTGAATTTATGGGGGAAAAGTGAGTTTGTGAAGTTTGTGAAGGCAAACTTGTCAGGAAGTAGCTTGATTAACCAACCGTGAGAGTGTTGGAGCCTCTGGCTATTTAAACTTTGAATAATTTTGACTGCAGTATTTCCTTTCCAGTGTTTGCACCCAGTGAGTTGACATAAACACATGTCTGTTGTAAGGATAAGTCACATTTTGATTTACAGGGAACATGGATTCTGGTCATATTACAAGAGCTAAGTTAAAATTGATCCCTTCCTCTCTTGAGGGAGGTTATCAGGGCATGGTTTTGTCAGTGAGTTGGCATCGTATAAATCATCAGTGTCACCCATCTCTTCTTTCAGCAGAAAGGCTAAATATCTTACTGTAGGTCCCCTTAGCCAGGAACCACAGGCGTCCTCACGTTTCCCCAGACACTGGGTGCAAGTTACCAGGTCTTCAAGAGATAAGCAGGGAATTTGCATTGCAACATGGTTCTCATTCACAATCGTATACAGACAGAACCACATGCAGCAGTGCCAAATACCCAGCTGCCCGGTCCTTTTATTCTTTTCAATGCCATGACAGTCATTTGAATAATTTCTTTTAAATTGTCAACGCAGCTTCTATTTTGAAATGATCTCAAAATGTCTTCTTCTGCCTTAAAAAAAAAAAAAAAAAAACCCCACCTGTAAACTCCATCTTTAAGCTTCTCCTTTTTTGGACACCTGTGCAGTCCACTCAAGAACGCGGACCAGACATGTCCACCTGTTACAGCGAGTTAACGTCATTGTCATTCGAATAAGGAAAAACTGTAAAAATGAGTGAGCATTGTCCCACTTGTCTTACACGCTGAAGGAGTATTGTGTACAGTGTGCATTTTGACACCCAACAAGCGAGTGACGGTGGTGGGCTTAACACTTAAAGGCTCTCAAATGTCTCATAGCCCGAGCAGTGCCAAGCCCCCACCCCAAACACTTGACCCCTGCTGACGTAGGCTGTCCATTTACATTTAGGGACACCGGCTCACTCCATTCTTAATACCATTTCTATTGTGGAGAGAACCAGGCACCAGGGATAGTAAGAGAGACTGATTTTTTTTTTTTACTTAAGAAGGTGCAGAGCTCATTTTACTTGAGCTTTACAGTTTTAGAGATTTAAAATCTTCATAGCTGGTAATTTTTAAAAATCTTTTCTGGCTGGATTTCTTTCTCTTTTTTTTTTGTTGTTTGATCCACATTTCTGTACTTTGGTTCATTTGCACACCAACGTGAAGCACTGAAGGGTAGAGCTGGCTACAATTGTTGAAAAAGTATTTTCGTCTGTTTCACGGACGTTGCTAGTCCTATTTTTGTCTCAAGCTGGTGTCTTGACGTGATTTTTGTATCACCGGAAGCCATGAGTGCCTTGGTAAAGACGGGAGATGGCAACAATGCAAGCTTTGACCTCATCCAAAATCGGATTGAGTCACTGAGCAGCAAGATGGACAAGCTCATCAACATTCAAGAAAAGGTCCTCAACCGACTAGATGGGATGTCTCAGGACATTGACGGCATTGAAAAGGATATGGAGAATCTGAAGGTTGACAAGGAGGAGATCCACCTGCCACCCAGGGTAGTGAACCAGACCCAGGTCATGGGGCGAGAAGTGAGGGAGATATGCCAGGAGATGAGCACCATCATGTCAGTGGTGAACCAGCGGTCCGAGCAGCAGGCTCAGAAGCTGGAAGGGATGGAAAAGCTGGTCCTCAGCATGCAGCAGGTGATCAGCTTCATTGGGGAGACGGTGAAGAGTTCGAGGATTATGGAGCTGGTGTTGAAAGGCCCTGCAGCTCGGAAGGGCTTCAAATCCAAAGACAATAAAGGGAAGCAAGCTGTCAAGAGAAAAACATCCACAGAAACATTAACCAAGAGGCTTGACAAGGTGAGATTAAGAGCCTCAAATTGCTGAGAAAATGTCTCTGCTTGAAGTGTATAACTACAGTCTAGTCAAATGTTAAGAGTCTACATTATATTGCTATTGCATAAAATGGGTTTTGGAGACATATTATTGTTGATATGGATTAAGACTTTAATGTTTCTCCAGTCTGGACTCTGACATATGCATTTAACATTTTGAATGATACATTTGATATTTCTAAGGGTGCATTTATCATTTTAAGTATCTAAGCGTGTTGCCAGGGTGTCCAACCCAGCTATCACTATGGACATCTAGTCCTGTTCTTGTCAGTGTTGTAAATGATGCTGTACAGTGTTTTCCATTCTGACACTGATTTCTTAGATCTCACCGGGGACTTGTTGTCTTGGCAGAACATGTGAAAATGATCATAGCAGCAAAGCTGACCACTCCTACGCTTCTCTCGAATGTGAATGTGGCTTGGCTTGTGTGCTTAATTCCCCATAAAGTGGGCAGGGGTGATAGGTAGTGTCTGGGCTTTGGTATGTTTACACTCGCCAAGTGCTGATTGAAGGCAAAGAGATTAAGAACACTAATTTTACAGTGTTATGTAAGTTACTCCACAATAAATATATCACTTGTAGCTTACATAAAGTCCCAATTGAACTCCAATTTATGGGGCTGCTTGTTGGATCTCTACCCATGCTGCGTGGAACATGGCCTTCTTGGCATGAGGCTGACTGTGGGACCCCCCCTGGCAGGGCACGAGAGGGCCGCTGTGAGGCCAGGGGTGAAATGTGAGTGGCCCGGTTTAGAAATGCTGTTTTTGGATCTGGGCTGCAGTGTTTGGGGTCTAAGAGGGCTTTAACCCCTTCAGCTCATCAGGAGTCAGATGTCAACAGATTGTGATGAGTCAGTGTTTCTCCCCTTCTCTCTTTAGCAGCTTGTTTCGCTCATTGACTCACTTCAACTAGGTACATTACCGCCTGTCAGTTATAGTTTTGCTTCTGCACATTTCAGTCCTGTGCCAGTAATTTTGTATATTCTACATCACTTTTTCCAGCAGTTATACCCCTCTGCTATAAAGCAGGTATTGCCTAAAGTCTATGCCATGTGGTTCTTTGCAAATTGCAAAACTTCCTGCGGCGCAAAATAGCTCTTCATAAAATTTTTACTGGGAGTCCTGCTGATAATGCTGTCAAAGTACCTTTGATTTAGAGGTTCCAGTAAAAGCCTGCATTTAACACGGCATGCAGTGTTCAAGAACGGCTGGTACAGGTTCAGAAAAGTCAAAAAGTAAATATGTACTTATGTAAATATGATCTCCATGAGGTTACTATTGCTCCAGTGTGCTTTGCACTCATATGTCTAGATGCAGAATTTACATTTTTAACTTAATGTCCAAAGGTCCATTGGTTTGGCTGGATTGCCTAGAATGAATGAGGTACTCAAATGTACAATTTTTTAAAAGGTTTTTTTACACTTAAAAAACATTTCCTGTGACTCTAAAGTCACTTCCGAAAAACAAACCTGAGGCATTTTGTCTTAATTGTCCAATTGGAAGACAGACCATGACCCTGTATAAAGGTCACTAAGTGCTGCTTGGCATCAGAGGCATGGGTTGCTCTTACAGACTTCACCACACTCCTGTCACTTGCATAGCTGCAGACGTTGGAGTCATATCTCTTTTCCTCTCACCTGAGTGGTTGTGACGTCATGTGACAACGTTATCACATACTTGAAAAATATTTGTGTCATGGTGCACAGTGTACAACAGTGGAGTCACTTTTTTTTGTATCCATATGTATCAGATTGAGGCATCATGACTTATTGAATTCAAGCCAATTAAAAGATGGAACAATGTATTTATGGTTTAGATTACGTGATGACCACATATCAATCTGATGGCTTCTACGTGAGTCACATTTCAGGGAATTTCTGTTGTCGTCAGAGCACTTGTCAGGTGGTTACTTCACCTTCAGAGGTGTGAGATTTCTGTCTGTTACTGTGGCCTTTGCACGCTTTCCCCAATCTCCCAATCAGAGATTTGAACTCCTGAAAACACCACTGTCACCGGGGGAAACTCCAAATATCTCCTGTGCTGTTTACCTCACCGAAGCATTCGGAGAACAAATGTGAGACACCAAGGAGTTCACGACAGGTTTTTCCATGCTAACCTGATCAGAGAGTGTTTAGTGAGTTTCCTCAGCTGAGAAATTTGAACAACAGCCTACCGTCGCTTGTAATATTTTCCGCTCAGGGTCAGCATTGCATTCCGTCGCTGAGTGCGACAAGTGATAAGCTATAAATTCACTGCCCTGCTGCTGTCTATCCAACTGCCATGAATAATCAAAGGCATTCCATACAAGTGGGTCTGCACATGGAGACATGCAATAAATGTGCTAATCTGTTAGCTGAAAACGGAGGAAGTGTCACTTAAATTTTGTCCTTTTCATGATTTTATGTGTCATTTCACTGAGTTATGGATTCACTTGTGTCGTGCGCTTTACATGTGACCCTAACTTCATCAACTCTACCTGTCACTGTCATTCAAGTATGTATTTGATTTTTGATTCATTTGTTATGTTGTTTTTTACATGTGACCCTAACTTATATCAATCACCCATATGTTTCATTGTCATTCATACTTAACATGTGATATTTATTCCATTCCATCTGCATTCATGTAACCCTACTAAGCATTGCCATCTTGTCTTTTTACTAGAAAACTACCTCTAATAAAGCCAGTAAAGGGAATCAACAGATAACTCCTGCATGTGTGCCCAGTACTCCTCAGCCCTCTCACAGGATAAAGCTCCATGGACCAAAGCATTTCCTCGCCTCTCGAAAATGTGGAAAGTTTGTAGGTTTATTGTGCTCAAAGACCATATTTACACAGGAACATGTCTCTTTTATTTGTAATATCTGAGTATATGTGCATTTGCATTTTTGGCTTCAGGCTGGCACCTTGTTCTTCATGTTTTCAACTTAAAGGGCTGGCTCTGTATGTTGAATGTTATTGTACAGACATACTTAACAAGAAAAGTGTAACGATGTGAAATGTTTGCATAGCCACACCAAAGCTATGCTTAGTTACATTTGACAAGCAACAAAAAAAAAACATTGTTGCCTTTAATTTTAGCTTGGTGAACTGGTTGAAATGATTTATCTTAAAGAGGAATGATAAAGCAGAATTTTGGAGAAGAAGAAAATGTCAAAATGTTCCTTTTAATATATCATTTTATTGGATAATTTATTTGAAAACGAAAAGAAAATTGTGTGGTGCCGATTTTTCTTTTGACTGTTTTATTTGTATTTCACAGTTGAAAGACCATAAAGGTAAAGATGGGACAGAGAAGCCATGTTTGAGCCCTAAGAATCAGAAAGCTCAAAAGAAGATGAAGCCCCCAGACACAACAGGTGCTGAGATGGACATGCTGTTTCCTCCACAAAAATACTATATGTCAATGCTTAAACTTCCAAGAGTTGCTCCTTTTGCTATAGTTAAAAAGCATGCATTTGCTCTCAAAGCTTCCGTGACAGGAACATCTTACTGTGTTAGAGTGATATTCTATTACACGTTCAGCTATAGCCTCCTAGCATGTATACCATGACACAGAAACCAAGTTCAAAAGGTCAGAGTGAAATATTTGGCACCTTCACACTTTACCGTATAACCTTTCACAAAAACCTATTCAATCTTAAATATGACAGAACGTTATGATGAATATTTAACAGGTTGTAAAAGGTTAAATCCAAGTTCTGTTTGGGCTTTTTGTAGATCATATCTCTCTGAAGAAGCAGGTTTTGCTTCTTCAAGAGGTGCAGAAGCTCAACAGGGAAAACACAGAGAAATCAGGTCACCAGCTCACCCCTGAATGTCTGGATCTGGAGGCTGGAGTGCCCCCTAAAGCTCAACAACCTGATCAACAACCTGCTTGTAATCTGGTGGACTACCTGCGTGAAGATTCCCCAGTGGCTGAGAAGCATGAGGTTGTTGAGGCGGTAGGTGAGGAGGAGGTGGGGGAAAAGGTGCCTGAGGGCGAGGTGGTGGTTACAGAGCAGGAGCCCAAGCTCGATGTGGAGGATGTAGTGGAAGAGAAAGAAGACGAAAAGCTCCAAGTCCCGCAGGAAAAGAAGGAAGAGGAAGCTTCTGCTGTAGAAGAAGTAGCTAAAGCCCCAGAGCTCCCCGCTGCCCCTGACAATGAAAAAGAACCAACTGCTACAAGGTAGTCAATTAAAGTTGATCAACAGAAAATTAATTAATGAATCAACTATTTTGATGATATTGTTTAAGTTATTTTTAAAACAAATCCCAAAAAGTTGATTCCAAATCTTCAAATGCAAGAATTGGTGCCTGTCCTCATCTCTTACATTATAAAAAATATTTTTGCATTTAGGACTGTTAGTTAAATAAAACAAGACATTTAAGGGGTGTCACCTTGGGCTTTAGGAAATTGTGATGGCTATATTTTTACTCTTTGCTGATGTTTCATCGGTCAAAAGGACTGATTACTTTCTTAAAGATGTAAAGATGTTGCTCATAAGAAAAAACTAGCTCCAAGACACAGTTCATAGCATGGTAGTCTGGAGCAAGTGCAACTAATGTAAGGATTCATTTGTAATTAGTCTTAGCCAATAATATCTATCCAGATATGTCATTGATTTGATGACTTAACTCCTAACATGTTGAAAAAGGCTTGTTGTTTAGCCATGTGCCAGCAGCCACATCTTTATACAAAAAACTTTTGATTTATAATAAGTAGAAGTATAATAACAAACAAAAATGAAAACTACCATCAATTTTGTTTCAGCTCTGATGACCACACCGATGCCGCCCCATCTCCAGTGGCCGAGCAAGACCAGACAGCAGAGATCAGCAGCGCTACTACCAATTCCTTTGTGACTGAGGAACACTTTGTAGTGGAGGAACACACAAAGAGCCAGGTGGTGGTCAGGGAGGAAGAGGAGAAGGAGAGGGAGGAGGAGGAGAAGAAGAGGGAGCACAACGAGGACGAAGAACAGAAGCTTGAGTCTGAGGACTGGGCCGTCTTTAGGGCAGATGGAGTTGAATTCCAGATAAACCTCAAACAAAGGTTGGAAAGAGAGAGGAAGGAAAATGCTGCAGAGAAGGAGGATGATGATGATGATGATGATGCTGAGCGGTACTTTATTGGTAAGTCAGGCCTCATTGAAAACTAATCATGGTCGGACGATGAAAGTTTAAATTCTTATTTAACCAATTGTTGCCCTTTGTTGGTGTAGAGAAAAGCCACTGTAAGGCAGCGCCAAAATAAATCAATCATTACAAAATCTACATGTTGGCCACAGTTGAAATATTTGGCTTAAATTCTTCACAGCAGTGAATTAAAATACTGAAATACAGGAGTCTATAGTTGTTTTATACTGTATATCAGCTGGACTGATGAATCAACCAGGCTGATATATCAGATATTATCTCAGATATATATATATATATATATATAGATATACAGTATATATATGTCGGCTGAGAAGTAACAGAAGCTGCAGAACAGATATGCCAAACTACATTTAAGGTACTTAAGAAACAGTGTCGCCATCACATAGTTGACCATCTGAGAATGCTAAGTTGGTACAGCACAGGGGTATGAAGTAATATAAAGCTTTTAAGGTTGTCTGGCACTATGACTAGAAGATATATCGTGCTAGGGCATGGTTGCTCCTCTGTGATATTAAGGCAACAACTGTGACTGTAGCTGATGTTTATCGTAGTACGCTAGTACACAATGTGCTAACTTGATTATGGCAGCCATGTACCCTTTCAAGCGCCTCACTGTAGCTGATAAACAATGAAGCTCCTGTGTTCTCACATTCCTCATAACCTATTAAAACAGATTATATCTTTTCTCTTGTCTCTTCTTCTCTCCGACTTTAGACACCACTCCTCCTCCAGCGGCTCCTTTTAATCACCGCGTTGTGTCGGCCAAGCCTAACCAGATCAGCAACTTCTACACTATCAACTGGCAGGAGGTCCTGGGCGGGTGAGCGTTGTGCTTGTGTGTGATGTAAAAAAAACACACAACAAAAAAATTAAAGCTACCGGAGACTAATTGATCAATCACAAATAAAAGATAGTGAGAGAGAGTTTCAATTCCCATAAAGCCTAATTGCGTTACACCCCCCACCCCGCCCCCACCCCATGTCCACCCTCATCTCCTCTCCTCTTCTCTCCCCTGGTTCATAACTTCAGAGTCACAGCAGTTATTTTTACTTCAGGACTGAGTGGTATGTGAAACTGTATCCCCGGTGCCAGCTGGTAGCTAATCACTAAGTGTTAATCCAAGTCTTCAAAGAGGAGACAGAGCCCAGCTCAGATTTAATGAAATAACAGATTAAGCACAGCACTCTTCTAAAACATCCCTGTTTGAAGTAAGATCAGTTTTTGATTTGTCATGGGAAAACACATGAAACACTACCTCTGTCCTGTTTCACAACTGTTTCTAGGCTTCTAGGATGTACGATTTTGAGATGATAGACTTGGCAACTGTGGAAATTGCATTTTTTTTTTCTTCTTCCTTTTCTCTTCTCTCTCTCTTCAAGGGGTCGTTTCGGTCAGGTGCACAAATGTGTCGAAAACTCCTCTGGTCTCACTCTGGCAGCAAAGGTCATCAAAGCCAGGAGTCAGAAAGAAAAGGTACAGCACCGAACGCACACTGTCATGATAATGAATTAGTCCTATTTTGATAAGTGGAGTGAGAGCCACGCCACATGATATAAAAAGCAGGAGAGGGGCTTAGCTACAGTTTTTATTACATACCAGTCCACTGCAAGGCCACACAGAAGCAGAGGGAATACTTCTCACCTAGGTGAGAAATATTTGACCTAGAAGAGAAGATGCATTGTCTCATAGCAGAGAACAGCTGACACCTCTCACCGTGTCCATGTTTGTGTGTGTGTGTGTGTGTGTGTGCGTGCGCGCGTGTGTGCGCGCTCACTTGGTGTGTGTGTCTGTGTGTCAATGTATGTCTGCAACTGTGTCTGTCTGCTTCTGCATCTGTCCGTCTGTCTGCGCCTGTGTTTTTGGTAGGAGATCGTGAAGAATGAGATCCAGGTCATGAATAATCTGGACCATGCCAACCTGATCCAGCTCTATGCAGCTTATGAGTCAAGGAATGACATCATCCTTGTACTTGAATAGTATGCTCCTTCTTTTATATTTTCAGCACGTGTTCATTAATTTCAAAACAGCTTATTGATCACTTTATAACAAGATATAACTTGATTAAACTTAAATTGTTAAGTTAAATTAAATTGGTGGGCCCAACAGAATTTCTGTTAACTAATTTAATTGTTAATTCATTTTGTGTGAGAAATGTATTCTTAAATGTATGGACAATTTTGCTAAAGTAACATGATACTTTACATTTAATATATATATATATTTAAAAATTTTGGGTTCGACTGTTGATTTTTATGCGTTTGTCTTTAACCTTAGTGTTGGTGGAGGGGAGCTGTTTGACAGGATCATTGATGAAAACTACACTTTAATGGAGCTGGATGCTGTGGTGTTCATCAGGCAGATCTGCGAGGGCCTGCAGCACATGCACAAAATGTACATCCTACACCTGGACTTAAAGGTAACAAAGTCACTTATATTTTTAGGACACTTTTTACAACAGAATTCATACATTCCTGCAGTTTATTTAAAGCCTCTCAGTTAAAATCCTGTGTTTTGTTATAAATTTCAGCCTGAAAATATTCTGTGCGTGAGCAGAGTCACAAATAAGATCAAGATCATCGACTTTGGTCTCGCCCGGATGTAAGTAATAGTATTTCCTTCTATTTTATTGACAGTTTTGTCCATCGCTGTAATCACGAAAAATGTAAAATGTCATTGATTTATATCCCCACATAGATATAAACCAAGGGAGAAGCTGCGAGTGAATTTCGGCACGCCAGAGTTCCTCGCTCCCGAAGTCATCAACTACGACTTTGTGTCCTTCAACACAGACATGTGGAGCCTCGGTGTCATCACCTACATGATGTAAGCAGACACACAAACACAGGCACATACTTTTTTAAGAGACTAATGTTAATGACTATTTGTCTCCTCTTGTTAGTCTGAGTGGTCTGTGTCCCTTCCTCGGTGATGATGACAACCAGACTCTGAATAACATCTTGGCCTGTCAGTGGAACTTTGAGGAACAAGAGTTTGTGGAGACGTCCAAAGAAGCCAAAGATTTCATCTCCAGGCTCCTCATTGTAAATAAAAGGTACCATCAACCTTTGTCTATGTGTTGCTGTGTCTCAGTCCTAAACTGAGATTAACATCTGCTCATATTTGAAATACAGTCTGTGCATTAAATTATATTTATGTGTCATTGTGTTTCTCATCAGTTGGAGGATGGGGGCAGCTGAGGCCTTAAGACATCCTTGGCTATCTGACTCAGTGCTTCATCACCACCTTTATACAAAGGTAGAATACACGGTCCTGGACTGCATTTATCATAGATAAGATAAATAATGAAATAGTCATGACCACAAATCTAAGGCTTTATGAATGTATGGCAATCAACTCTGTGTGGAATTTGTGTTTGTGCCTCTTTGTGATTTTAGTGCTCTAGTAAGGTTAGGGTTAGGTTTTTTTATTTATTTATTTATTTTTATTTATGTGGTAGAAATGCTATAGTAAGTTAGATATGAAATTTTTAAAATAAATTAGACATAAAGAAATATGTTGAGGGAATAAGGACACTTATGTGTCACTGTGATAATACATTTGTTTTAATTAATCATACATTGAAATATTATTGTTGACCTTCTCTGTTTCCAGAAAACTATGTGCAGATCAAGGCGATCATCATGTGTGCCCATGACTGATAGTTGAGGTTGGTCTGTTGTTTCGTTTTTCGTCTTATTTTGATGTCACTTTCTCAATTTGTTTTGAACAGAATCTTATTGCTTGTCATAAGAGACGTAAAAGTTACATTCATCCCTTTCAAAACATCCACAAGGGGGAAGCATGTCTCAGATTTTGTGCAGGGCAGCATAGAAGCGACAAGACATTCAGTACCTGCCTGTTACAGAAAATAATGACTGTCCCAATTATAATCATTTTCTTTTTTCTTTTCTTTTTTTAGGGCTCTACAGAGATGTGACGGCTCCAGCTGTGGCCACTCGGACCAACCCTCCTGTCCATGTAAATGACCTAAATTTCAGTCAGTTCATCTGCAGCATTTTCCTGAAATGTGATCCACTGTGTTGTGTTAATGTAACCAATATACCAGAGCAAAATATAAAAAGAGATAACAGTTTTATTCAAGTGAGATTTAATAGTTGATAGTCGCAGCAAGTGTTGTACTGTACTACTTTTTCCATGAATAATGAAAAGACAGATGAAGAACATCTTATAATGTTAATCAGTTGTCTTGCAATTAATGTGATGAAATCATGATAATGAGAGTAATAACTCTTGACTAAATACCTGTTGAGTTTGTGGTGATGTTTTATTACATTACATTACTTTGTAAGGTTTTTTTTATTTTTATTTTTTTCATCCTGTTGTAGATGGCATTTCAAAATGATGCTGTGGTCAGAATCTAACCTAGTTTAATTAGACCCATATTATCATACATACATACATATGTACGTATATATATATATATATACATATATATATATAATATATACATATATACGTACATGAGCTTGACTGTGTGTGGCACCTTTGCCTTGAAAGTTGAACATGGACATTGCACTATCTACTTCACTTTCAAGTATCCACTCGCCCTCAGTCACCTATAACCAAATACACTGTGTTGTCATTGTTTGCTGCTGTTTTCATTTACTGCTGATACTGTAGATAATAACTCACGTTTAGAAACATACCTCAACTGCTTCTGTGTGAAGGCTACAGCATGATTCATATTAATGCAACCGGAATAATCTGTGCTCTCAGTTAGAAATGTTCTTTTTGGGCTGTAAATAGCTGCTGAACTGTAGAGTAAAATCCAGATTTTCTCATATGTATGTATGGACAGAATGGAATTTGTGTGCTTGGTGTCATGAGCTGTAGTATGTGCACTTTATACTGATATTTATATAAACATATATTATACATGAAGCTACCGTAGTTCCATTGAAAACGCTTGTGTGGTCGGACCTCCACGTCTCCTCCATCTGTTTCATCCTGCTTTGTCCTGGTGTTCATAAGCAAACACACATTCACTTTTTATGTCTTATGAACTAGGTGTAACTTTTTCATTATTTGTTGCATGTTGTTATGTGTTTTTGTGTTATCAGCTATTAAAGCTTAAACTTGATAAATAGAGTAATAACTTTTTAATACCTTTTTTTTTTTCTTTTTTATTGTATTGTGCTTGAGCTGTCACTCTAGAGCCACTCCGGCTGTATATTCTTGTCACTGTAGAAGCTTTTTACACATTACAGAGTTATCTTTGAAATACCTTCTGTGAAGGTTCACTAACTGATAGTAACACACTTACCTACCTAATGTTGCCCAAGTGGATAAAATATCATTTCAACTAAGTTTATGTGAATTTATTTTAACTTCATGATGAATGTGACATTAACTGTTGTTGAACACGGAGTGCTAGTAAAAGAAGTTGTCCTCACAGAGTGTTAACAATTTCAAATTCAGCATGTATTTGAGAAGTGTGTACACACCCATTAAAGTGAAGTTGTGTCTTAAATCAGAGTTTGTTTGCTTTTATTTCACTTTTGTCAAGGTTCAGTTTGACCACATACATTAACTGTGCAAATAAAGAACTTGAACCTTGAATCCAAAATAGTGATTTGTGTAATTGTGAAATGCTCAGCTCAGATCATTTCAGTCTATTGTCCTTATTAATATTTATACACAGTAAATGCACATAGAAATAAAGCATAACAATGTTGGCCAAAAAGGGAAAACTTTTCAACTTTTGAACTTAAAATATGATCTTTAAGGCCACTGAGGAGAGAAATTAGAAGATGGGAATTTGACTACAAACCTTTGCCCCTTTAATTACCCAAAGATGTCAAAGTCTTAGTAAATGCTCTGTCACACTGTAGAAGTTATCTTGAAAATAATCTGTGAATAATGCCTTTTTTATATGAGAAGAAATGAAAACACAATGTGATGTTTTTTTAAGATCAGTATGCCACTTGTTAATAGATAGCATTTTTAAATTGTCACATACATAAAGCTAGAGTAATGATACACTCTTTCTAAAACAAATTATAGCCAATTTGTGGTCTCCTAATGTGAAGCATAAATCTAAACTCAACCAAATGTTTTCAACATGAGTCCCAGTTTTCTTTGGTATATTTAGTTCTGAGACAATCACATAAACGTTTTTCATGTCTTTATACTCTCTCTGGGTTATTGAGAGGAAAACACACTCTCTGTGCGATTAAAAGCAGTCTTCGTGAAGCATTTTGTCTGTCTGTCACAATGTAGTGAGCTATTTTCAGTGAGAATTTTACAATCTCAGCCCAGGTCTCTGTAAACCTTGAACACACAAACACGCACCCTTATTCAAGATGAAAGTACAGCTGATTCCAGGAGCCTAATAAAGAGCATCTGAGGGAGCCAGTGTGTGCAATACAGTTTGTTCACCTGAGAAAATAAACTGAGTGTGTGGGATGATGATGATGTCGGGGGAATGGGGCTTTGACTCTGGAGAAAAAAGAAGTGGCTATCAAGGATTATTACAGAGGTCACAAGAGGGGTTGAGAAACAGAAAACATGAAGATGAATGACAATGAAGAAACAGTGAGCTGAATGTGAGTTTGTGATGAGCATGTACATTTGAAGAACATTTCAATTTCCACAAAGTATACCTTAACTTTCAGCCTGCTCTATCCTTTAAAAGACACTGAGGTCTTATTTACAGAACCCACAGGGTTAGTCAGGGATACGTGCAGACTTTATGGGAGAGTACCATGGGAAACGTGTACTTAATTGTACAGAAATACCAGAAAAGCAAACTGCACCACCAAAAAGCATAGAAACCCTGTAGTTGACCACTTTTTACATCCAGTAGTTTAAGACTGTCATGGCCATAAAATTGTAAGGGCCGACGAAATAATTCACAGTTTTGGGTTATTTTCATTTTTCTTCCATTTTGATTTATATATCGTGCACTGGACAGTGACAAGAAAGATGGATGAGGGACAAACTGTCTTCCATCCGTATGAAAACCTGAAATCGACTTGAGCTCAGGCTCCTTTTGAGGAATTTCTTCTTAGAAAGTGGACAAAAGAAGATGTGCAGCTAAAAATGAAAACTGGCCTTAGGAGTAGCCTATTTACAGAATGTCTGATATCAAAGCGGGTTGAAAGAGAAGATTAAATAAATAAGTAACAAGTGTAACTTTAAAGTGAAAAGGACACACAGTCATAAGCAAGTCCTGTCCTGGCAAGTGAAAAACTTCAAATAGTCACTTCTTGCAGTTTCCTCAGATATTGATTGTAGATGTAAACAAATGTGTATGCTGAGTATCTCAAGTGCAGATTCAATGATGAAAACACACAATTATAGATCTGGTGAGATAACTAGCTAGCAAGCTAGCAAGCATGCAAGCACCTAGTTATAGTGAGATTTTCCTAATTTTCCAATCCTGACACAACAACATTATATGGATCTTTGTGACAGATGTCGGCTTTTTAAAATGATTTGGAATATTTCCAGAACTTCAGATTTCTACGGAGCCCCTAAAGGGCCATCGGGGGAAAAAAAATCTTTTCTTTCTGGTGGGCACGAAAAAGTCAAAGATTCCCCCTAAGTTTTTTTCCCCATGTCCCCTCAGGGGCTCCGTAAGTTCTACTCCATAGAATGAGCTCTTACCGTGATCCTAACCATTCTCATTCCTCATGCCTAAACCTAACCAATCCAAACAGTGGAAGCCACGACCACTAGCCAATCAGAGGCAGTGTAGGGCGGGTTATGTCGTAAATTTACATCCGGCTGCTGTAGCATTGATAGCTAATCGAAGGATAAAATCATAATGGAGGAAAAGCATTTTGCAGATTTTTTTTGGCAAACCACCATATAAAGAGAGCCTGGATAAAATCCAGCCTTCGCAGAAGAGCAGCTCCACCAACATCGTTTTCGTTTGGCTGTAGTTTTTCCTTGGAGACAGGCACCCGCCGAAGTCGTTAGCACCGCCACCATTGAGGAGCCTGCTACTAACAGGTGTCAAGGTGACATTTGACATTTGTCATATGAGGAGCCTTTCCAGCCACTCTACTTCCTATTTCCGGCCAGACGTTTTGGGAAAGAAACTTTCAGCCGTGCATTTACACAAACTTCGTTTGCTAAATGGAAGTGGCTTCACATCGTTGCGGAGTAAGGTCAAGTTGTGTGCTTTGCCTGCGTGAAGTGGCAGCAGAGGGCAACCGGTCGATTCGGTGGGCCATCACCTTCCCGAGGAGCTGGACCCAGGCCGTCCTGATCTCCAGCTCAAAATGCTAGAGGATGTCACCAGAGAGTCTCGTGTCGCAGTTCAAGATGAAGCAACATGTCTAAGCCATACCTAAGCTCCATCCACAAACAAGAACTCTGTTTACAGAAGATGAAAAACTCACTTCTGTGCCTGCATATTTCTGTGGTCTCAATACGAGCGGACCTTCGCCACCTTGCGTGAAAACATGCCTACGCAATACCATGACCCAAAAGAGACAAATTTTCCTCTTCCTGATGCATGTCCACACTGATATTTTGAACTGATTGGAGATCCATGCCCTGATGAGAGACTTTCCACAACACCTGAGCGCAAGGCCGCATTTGGATTATTACAACTACTGGAGCACCTGGCCTGCAGCTCAAGGTAAGTTATTTGGTTTAAGCTGCCGCCGAGCATTTTAAAATTCAGTTGTCAATTACTTTTAACATCACACCGACATATCTTTGTTGAAAAATGTGCGTATTGTGCGGATATGTTCTTGTGTGCTGTGCTCAATGAGCTTTTGGACCCATTAGTGAATATAGAGACCTACATTTGATGGTGTGGTATTGTAAGCTGCCGCCGAGCCGTTAAATATTCAGTTGTCAATTATTTTAAACATCACACTGATATATCTAAAAAAATGTGCGTGTTTGGATATGTTCTTGTGTGCCATGCGCAATGGGCTTTTGGACGTGTGTATTGCAATATTTTGGCATTATTGTGAACTATTTGTGTAATAGCATTACTGAGTCCTTTTTTTATACAACTGGCTGCTGCTGTTGTTACTGCTGCTGCTTTTTTGGTGTGTGCGTAGTAGTATTGTTGCTATGCTGTATTTGTATGAGTTGTATTGTATGGGTTGGGGTAAAATGCTCCTCCCACTACAGCACCCCCAATTTAAAACATCTTCCAGCGGCCCTGGCTGCATGCTGGTTAGCTGGATAGATAACATTATTTTACGTTGACTACTGTAACCATCAACGTTGTGGGGACCTTTTGCTACAGATATTCCTGTTTTTGGAAAAAGATTTCTCCTGGTGTAATGTACATTTATTAAAAATCTTACTTCAATAACATTTTTACAACATTAAAATAAAACACCTGACACATGAATTTCAAATACTTTCCATCCATAATTTCCTATCAAGGACTGACAGCTTTGTTATGTCTACTATTTGTTTATTTTCACACATCATTTCATCAGACATAAGAGCTTTCATGTCAGGAATGGTTCAGAGAGAGTTCATACATTCCTCAAACAGGCAGAGAATCCGAGTCAGTTAATAGCCATTACTATGAACATGCAAGTCGTTTGGCAAAACAGGTGATACTGATTTCTTCCAAGGATTTTTTTCCCCCCACTCTTACTTACTTTTTTTGCATAGCTTTTCAAGAGCCTCAGGGTTGGAAGCCGAATGCATTAAGCTCTCGCTCTATCCCTGGTCCAAGGCCCAGGTTAGAATGGTGAGAAATTCAATTTAAGAGGAGAAAAATGCCTCCTTCTACTGCCCCTCCACCACCTCACCCCTAAGTCTCCTCCATCCACATCTCCAGGGGCGAGCTCGAGGAGCCAAACCAAAACCAGATGGACTTATTGGGCCTAAAGATAACAAATAGTGCCTGAGTTCCTGTCAGTTAGAGACCACCGGAGCAAAGAAGCTGAGGGTGAAGAAAGCTTACTGACATGTCTAACTCTTTGTCTTGCTGTATAAAGTAGTATTAATATTGACAATACAGTCTATGTGAACAAGAAAGTAAGACAGAAGTTGATGCTGAAGTTGGTTTGTTTGGTCAGGGTAGGAGCTTGTTAAGGGTAGGGATGCTTTGGATAGTTTTGGTGTTGGTGCCATGTGTATAAAGGGGCATTGCATTCAGAAAACCAGGTGAGGTGCTGGCTTGACTTTGGGAAGGTAGGCTGTCAGCAGTGACCCGAATCTCTGGGTGGCATGCTCTCCAGTTTGTTAGTGGATACATCTACCGCCCACACACACACTAAGTAAGAAAGGACAGACAGAGAAAAAAGGGGAGGGTGACCCCAGAACTCCTCACAGCCTCCCTGCAGATTGACTAAGAAAGTGTCCTTTGTAACAGGAGTTTCCTGTACGTAATTAAAAAATATTGGGCCCTGCTCAGAAGGGAGGAGACGGGGCCCGAGGTTGTAGGAGGCTATGTGAAGGGTAAGATTCTCTGCTCCACTCTTCGTTTCATGTACGAGCCCCGGAGCTGGCCCTGACGTTTGTCCAAACAAGAGGCGCTCTCTC